GCGTCATCTTCAAACCTGTCCTGCGGAGTAATACTATTCATTCATTTTAGTGTAAAAAACACACACGCGCTGTCTCTCTCGCTGATAATGTGATTTTTTAATATTTAATAAAACATCAATATTTACATCTTACCTTGATTTGGATATCTATGTCGCAATTTTCTAGTTTATTATTAAGTCATCTAACTATAGTGTGTGTAAGTAGTGAGAGGTGCTACTCGACACACCAGCAGAGGTGCTCCTCGGCATACTAATTATCTACTTGTTTAAATCTACACATTAGGTTTTATATAACTCCTTAATGACACCATTGTAAAGTATGTTTGGTGTGTCTTCAGTTTCAGGGTGTGGAACTCAAGACGCCAACTGCTAACGTAACACCCAACCATTCTTCAGAAAGAGGACATACCCACTGAATCAGGTCATTAATGTATGTAAACAGCCTCCCAGAACCCACATGTAAGGCTGATGCTGAGGAATTTCCATTCTGGTTGTGTGTTCATCTACCAACTATCGAACAACGCCACGCCTTAACCCGCTCTTCACCTTTCATCTGATTTTATATATTTATTTATTTTTATCGTTGCTATCATCATTTTACGCTTTTAAACTGTATATATATATATATATATATATATATATATATATATATATATATATATATATATATATATATATATATATATATATATATATATATATATATTCATTGATTTTTGTTTCTCTGGTGAGAAAATTGGATTGCCAATAAGAACAAAATCAAATGCAACAGATCCCAGAGAAAGGAAAGTTCAGAACACAAGAAACAAACTGCTAGTGATTTCAACACGTCCCTCACAAATGGAAATTTACCGGAGAAAAAGAAAACTACAAAGAAATGAGAGGTGGGAGAGAGGCCAGTAGGTTAATAGCTGTTAGACTACGAGATCCGTCGCAAGGGAGCATAATAATAATGTTCACATAACGAAAAACTCAACTTTTACAAACATTAATACTTATCAGTAGCAGATCTACTGAAAATCGATCGCTTGCTGGAACTTCAACACTGACATCCTGAACATAAGTGACACTCGATATGATAATATAAGAACGAAGAAACAGCATAAACAGAGATCGAATATGAAAAGTACCTGGGTGTCTATGTTGCCAACGAACTGAGGTTCTTGGGCCATTGTGAGAAGAAGACGAGTGAAGCAACTAAGCTAATAGGTCTTATAAGATCGTTCAGATATTATCTAGTAACGCTCTTCAAGAGTGAGGTTCTTCCCCATTTGGAGTACTTTCACCCCGTCTGGTCCCCAATATATACAAAAGACTGTCAGGTGATTGAAAATGCCCAAAGGAGGCCACCATTGCGCTCCGGCACCTCAGCTACCCGGAGAGATTAGAATGCCTGCAATTGCCGAGCTTATATTTTTGGCGAGCAAGGGGTGAATTAATTTAAATCATCTCCAAGACCATTACTCAGTCATGTTTTTATACCTGGTGCTGGCGGGCTCCCGTTCCACTATTTAAGGTCACAGTTCAAGGTTGAAGAAGCAACAAGTTCGAAAAATTGTCAGGGCAAACTTTTTGGTAGTAGGCAGCTATCAAACAGGGAGGTACTACCACCTTGGAAGGTATTGGAAGCATAATGTGTTGTCTAATGGTAGACCCTGCTGCCATATGGCATCACAAAAATTGTGACCACGTCCCAGGTTGCTGAGCTGACGTTTTACCTCATTTACACACAATCGCAGAGTCTCAATTGTTTCTCTCACTTTGTCAACACAACGTACATATATCGTTTCCCATTCTTGATTTTTATATAATTTTTGTATTTCTTTATTATTATTATAATTATTATTACACTTTCGCCCACCAGGCCCCGATGTCGGTCAGTGACCTGTGCCCGGGTGGGCTAATAATTCCTGTTAAAAAAAATCCTCTTGGAACAATCTGCCAGAGACTTGTGACGGCAACGAGTGTGAGCTCATTCAGACTTACCAACACTGGAGTAGGTACAGATTTATTCAGGATCGGCAGGAGCCAGTGCATGCCCAGTACTTGCCAACAGTACGTAACAGAGACGTGATCGACCGCCCAAGCGCCTAACGAGCCGATCATTGGCGAAGAGGATAAAAGTAGAGTAAAAGTAATATTCAAATAAGCATCTCAAGGGACACTACTCAGTCGAGTGTCCTTACCTGGAGCTGGCGGGCGCTCGCCCCACAAGGGGTCACAGCTCAAGGTTGAAAAAGCCGCAAGCCCCCAAAAACTGTGAGGGGTAACTTTTTTGGAGTGAGAGTTGTGAACTCTTGGAACAATCTGCCAGAGAGTGTTGTGACGGCACCAAGTGTGAGCTCTTTCATGACCAGACTTGACAAGTACTGGAGCAGGTTTAGATGCATTCTTCTTACTCCTGTGCCAGGAAAAACAAGTACACGAAAATTAATACAAGAGAAGAATTGCTTACATCTTCAATAAACACAAAAAATATGATCATAACGAAAAGCCCACACCAAGTTAACCACTCCCTCACGCCCACACCAAGTTAACCACTCCCTCACGCCCACACCAAGTTAACCACTCCCTCACGCCCACACTAGATCCACCCCTTCTTACGCCCACACCAGGTCCACACCTTCTTTACGCTCACATCAGGTCAACCAATCCCTCTCGCTCACACCAGGTCCACCCCTCTCACATCCACAACAAGTCAACCACTCCCTCACGCCCACATCAGGTCAACCAATCCCTCTCGCTCACACCAGGTCCACCCCTCTCACATCCACAACAAGTCAACCACTCCCTCACGCCCACATCAGGTCAACCAATCCCTCTCGCTCACACCAGGTCCACCCCTCTCACATCCACAACAAGTCAACCACTCCCTCACGCCCACATCAGGTCAACCAATCTCTCTCGCTCACACCAGGTCCACCCCTCTCACGCCCACAACAGGTCAACCCCTCTCTCACGCCCACACCAAATGCACTATGTACATTGTTTGTATACCTGGAATGCCTATTTTTTTATTTGTATACTTGCACTGTCTGTGTATATTATTTATATACCTATACTATATGTACAGTACGTTGAACACATGATCAGTCTGTATAAATTGCTTGTATGCCTACACTATGTATATTCACTATGTACATTGTATACTTGCGCTGTCGATGTACATTTTTTGTATAACTTCACATGTACAATACAGTAGAAACTGAGTTAATGTAAACTTTTCTGATAATTTTACTGAATATATATCAATCTACAACACACTAGATTCAGTCTGATAATGCAGCAGTTTATATTTTGAATAATGTTGTCTGTTATCTAAACGCACTTGTTTGTATGTATTAACAAGTTAAGCAAACGTACGACAGTTAAATGTTTGCCGAAACTGTTGCTGCTTCAAATATCGTGTACTTTACCCTGTATAATACAAATAATATGTTCTAGTTTCCTATATCTAATTATAGCTATGCAAATACAGTATACTAATTCCCATAATCTTGAGTTATCTATATCTACTGTATGTCATCCTCTATTTTTTCTTTCATAAAAATAACAATCATCTAAAGATTTTATGTTATGTTTTAATTTGTCACGTTTTGTTTGTTTTCATCTATGTAGATCTGAACTAACCCTGCTGGTTGTGAAGTCTCTTACAAGTGGTAACAGCGGCATCTGATGAGATGAATCGCTAGACACGCAAGGAAAAACATGAAAACATTTTCCTTCTTACATTTTAATTCAGTTAGTACGAAATAAAATGAAGATTATTTACTCATTCATAGACTGTTTTAAGGAAAATATAAATAGTCATACTAATCTCATAACACAATTACGGTAGCCATTTATACTGTACAACAGATAATATAAAATATTTGTACGTCAGGCAGCGAGTGATGTGCAGCAAGAAGTTGCACAGAAATTATCAAACATTATAAATTTCTTCCTTCGTGTAGATTATAGAATGTGTATGTAGTGTTGTGTGATATTGCCTGTTCTTGAAATTCTAAAATAGATGTCTATCGTGGCCAAAGAACTTCCACGATCATCAAAATAAACTGCATGAAGAAGATGCAGTTCACTAGAGGCCACATAACAGCTGAGGAGCTGAGCAACACCACCACAGATCACAATTTTACGGTGTTGAGGACAAGTCCACACACACCAAGATGACACATAAGCACCTAAACAGATGATACCATATCGAAACATATTGACCTCTGAGAAAAAATGGACAAACACTGGGCAGATCAATATGTTATGTTGGCTGCAGCTTCAAATATGATTTACAAATCACGTACATGGATCACCTAAATAATAGACACCCCAGTTTACTTCACTTTTAGAATAACCACCCTAACGCTACTTGGGGAGTAATTTAGTGTTTGCTTAACTCAGGTTGTTAGGTTAGGTCAGGTCAGAGTTTGGTGGTTCAGGTGAACCCCTGTTATATATAAATACCAAACACAAGAGCCCTTAAATGCAGTTCACATTAATATAAGAGTCTTACAAGTATTGGGATGCGACTCTTATAAACCACAAGATACTCCTCACTTCATCAACTCGCCCAATACACAAACTTGACCTGCCAGCAAACACAGACAGACACACACACAGACAGACACACACACAGACAGACACACACACACACACACACACACACACGCGCGCGCGCGCACACCTTGTTCCTCACTGCACTCTCCAACTGATATACGAGTATATTTAATTTTGTCTTTGTAGTTCATTGCATACAAGTTTCATGTATCAATTACTTATGAGAGAGAGAGAGAATATTTCGAGAGAAATAATTAACACTCACTACTGCTAAACGATAACTGACAGCTAGTGTCTGTAATCTCTTCTCGAGTATTAGCTGATATTCTACTTGACATCTTAAAAGGTGAGATTACAACATTCGTGTGAATAAGAAGATAAAGAGGAAGAGTGACGTCATCACTTCCGTAGCCAACCAAAGAGAATAAAGCCAGCTGCGCTGGCTGTACAGTCAGTCTGCTTTCACCCACCGCAGAGGGAAGATATGAACAATCTGTTCTCCATTCAAACAACTACACTGTCGTACACAAAAGTAAGTGGAAGCAACTTTTTATTTATTTTCGTGGTCAGTAATTAGTCTGTGTGTTAGGATACATGAAGCTATCGAGTACACTAGTGCTAAACCAGACCATTATTTAATTTTTGGCTCGCAAGGTGAACTGGTTTACGTGAAATTTTCCTTCTGAACTCTTAGATTCAGAACTGTGACCTAATTAAACACACAAGGAGAAAACAGCGTTGTGTCACCTGTGAACACCAAACATGACCCATTAACAGTTTCAGTGTTAATACAGTACATCCGGCCAGTGGTTCCCTGAGGCTATTGTGGTCTTTATCATAACTCGCTTACTGTCTTTGATACATTATATATATATATATATATATATATATATATATATATATATATATATATATATATATATATATATATATATCTTGATAAAATCACACGGGAAAATACGACAACAGGTACCTTAGCTAGTACTCCGTTGTTTCTATTTCAAATATTGACCTATAAATTATCCACGTTTTCATTGTGGATTAACATGAAATATATATATATATATATATATATATATATATATATATATATATATATATATATATATATATATATATATATATATATATATATATATATATAGATATACATATATATATATACAGAGAGAGAGAGAGAGAGAGGTGCTGTAGTATAAGACGAAAATTTGGCTGCTGTTCCAGACATAAATTACGAAACCGTAGTAAAGTGCGGTGAAACTGATGGACTCCTGGAAGCCGTGTACATCTCACCGCAACAGTGACGTCACCTACACGCCTCACCACAACACTGGTGTTACCTACACGCCTCACCACAACACTGGTGTCACCTACACGCCTCACCACAACACTGGTGTCACCTACACGCCTCACCACAACACTGGTGTCACCTACACGCCTCACCACAACACTGGTGTCACCTACACACCCTCACCACAACACTGGTGTCACCTACACGCCTCACCACACACTGGTGTCACCTACACGCCTCCTGCCACAACACTGGTGTCACCACGCCTCACCACAACACTGAAAGATTGTCACCTACACGCCCTCACCACAACACTGGTGTCACCTACACGCCTCCACCCACACAACACTAGGGTGTCACCTGCCTCACCACAACATTGAGGTGTCACCTCACGCCTCACCACAACACTGGTGTCACCTACACGCCTCACTGCACAACACTGGTGTCACCTACACGCCTCACCTGGCCTGGTGTCACCCCTACACGCCTCACCACAACACTGGGTGTCACCTACACACGCCTACCCACAACACTGGGTGTCACCTACGCCTCACCCTGCCTGGGTGTCACCTACACGCCTCACAACAACACTGGTGTTACGCCTCCACCACAACACTGGTGTTACCTACACATACTCACCACCCAACACTGGTGTCCTTACACGCCTCACCACAACACTGGTGTCACTTACACGCCTCACCACAACACTGGTGTCACCTACACGCCTCACCACAACACCGGTGTCACCTACACGCCTCACAACAACACTGGTGTCACTTACACGCCTCACCACAACACTGGTGTTGCCTCACGCCTCACCACACACTGGTGTCACCTACACGCCTCACCACAACACTGGTGTCACTTACACGCCTCACCACAACACTGGTGTCACCTACACGCCTCACCACAACACCGGTGTCACCTACACGCCTCACAACAACACTGGTGTCACTTACACGCCTCACCACAACACTGGTGTTACCTACACGCCTCACCACAACACACCTACACACCTCACCAAATTCTTACCAGACAAAATTCAATAAATTAATTTTATTTAGCTGTTGAAATACAATTTTGGTAAAAAAGTTTTACAGCAATTTTGTATTTTATGATACTGTATATATTTAGCAGTCATTTAGAGTTAATAACTTCTCCGTTCCTTACTTCAAGTTATAGGAATAATGATGTTTAAGGGAGAGAGCTATGAGGACTCCTATCTGGTGCACTCCCTAACCTCTCTTCTTGCCTCCAGCTATTACCTCTCTGGGAAACCCTTACCACTAAATTATTCTGTGGTCGCCTTCCTCTCTGGCGGTATGTGTAAATACTTTGATGTTTATCGTCGACTGCATAGTCATCTTCAGGACTGACAACTCCCATCAAAGATTAGATGAGGAACGTCCTGGATGTTCACCACATTCCACGGTGTCTTGACTGGATGCCTAGACGATTGTCTACTGTAATAGCAATATCTTCAGTGAATTCTTTTAAACTTCCGACTGGCCATAGACAATTATTTATAATGTATATCATCATAATACATATAAATTAAGTTTCTTAGAAAACCTAACCGCACCTTACCTTACAATAAGTAAAATTTGGTTATCTTACAGATGGTGAACGACATCTTAAATGAAACAGCAAATTTTCCGATTTGCGAATTTATTTCCATTAACCTTTAGCAACACAAAAAAGTACTGTAACTCTATTTACCTAATGTGCAGTTTGTAGTTGTTGTCAATTGTAGACCCTGACTAGAATGAACTAAAATAAATAAATTTGATCTAGATTAGGCTGTTCTGGAAATATAGAATTTGGTGAAACGAAAAATTGCTATTATGTAAGTGTCTATGGAACAGCCAGACAAAAACGACTTCCTTAATCCAGCCCGACGCCTCACCCGCATGATGTTGTTTCTTGGAAGAAGCGTCAGAGGAAACATCTTGTACAGTCTCACCTAAAAGTTCGTTAACTCTCCCAGCCAGCTATTGCTGCACTGCCTGCTTCAGATGTATGAACTTGAGTCTGTTACTTCGAACCTTTAGATTCATTCGTATCGGTTTCATGTTCTGGTTGGTACTGAGACAGTTTCAAACATGTGAAGCAGGCAGTGCAGCAATAGCTGGCTGGGAGAGTTAACCAACTTTTGGGTGAGAATGTACCTACCAGAGAAGGAGGAAAGATCTGTTCACTGCCCATAACCCGACAGCCAGGATTGTTTTTCTGGTCATTGTTCCTTCGTAAGGATTTTAAACCTCAAAATTAGATTTTTGCGAACACTGAATCGGGACAGGTTATTGAGTAGATTTAGGATATTGTAGGTAAAACTTTTTTTCACGACTGAAAATAGGCTTCCATTTTTTTTTAATTTCCGGTATCCATACTAGCAGTTGCTGGTGACACAAAAATGATCACAATATCCAGAGTCACTGGCACACCCTGACTAAAACTCCATTTCCTCGTCCCACTAACCATGTGTTTCCTGTTACTGCTGCCGTGAATAATATATAAGTTGGTACCTGTTAGCTCGATTGACGACTCCGCAATATAGGTAATACGGTTGACAACCCTTTATCCGAAATTCCGAAAACCGAAAAGCTCTGAAAACCGAAAGTTTTTTTTTTTTTAAACAGGGATTAGCCCACCAGGGCATAGATCACTGACCCACATCAGGGCCTGGGGGGCGAAAATGTAATAGTAATAACAATTATAATAATAATAATTATTCATAGTAAATAAAATATTTAATAAAAATACACCAAAATAAAATATGATAACATTAATAATAATAATATATAATAATAAAATTAATAAAAATAACAATAAAACAGGAGTACTGCAATAATAAAATAATAATAATAATAAAGAAATACGAGAATGAAAAAAAGATCAAAATTGAGAAACACGACCTAGACCTAGGAATTATTATTATTATTATAATTTTTATTATATTTTCGCCCCCCAGGCCCTGATGTGGGTCAGTGATCTGTGCCCGGATGGGCCAATACAAAAAAAAAATAACCATTCTGAAAACAGAAAAATTCCGAAATCCGAAATTCCTCTGGCCCCAAGGATTTCGGATAAGGGATTGTCAACCTGTAGTACTCTCAGATTATCTGTTTATACATTTCTTATAAAATAACAAAGTATTTACCGGTGGATTTATTGTCTTTTCAGATGTTGGTAACGGTTATGGTTATACTTGTCTTCACGTCGTCGTGTAGTGGTCGTTCTTGGCTAATCGACGGTGATGAAGACCTCCAATTGTCACAGTACCACAGCCTAAATAAGAGAGCAGTGTTCGACTCAGCTTGTAAGGGTTACTATGACCGAGAATTCTGGGGCAAGTTGAGCAGAGTTTGCTGGGACTGTGAGAACCTGTTTAGGCAACCTGGCTACCAGGATAAGTGCAGGTATTGTCATCAACTCTTATAGGTTCTCTTAAAGTCTTAACTTGCCATTTGAGGCAGTAATTGACATCTTGTTATTCATCTGCATGTGTTAATTATAAATACCGACTGAGCTAGTGAAAATCTGTTGGTTAATATAATCTCCCCTTCACAATGCATCACAACAAATATTAAAAGTATGTTTTCCCCACACCAGCGAAGGCTGTTTCGTCACTACGGACTTCACTCAATGTGTAAAGGCCTTGTTGCTAAATGTGGAAGAATACAACGAACTTGCTGAGTTGGTGCGCGGTTGATAAATCTACGATAATATAAAAAAAGAAGTAAGTGTGAAGCATCTATCTATGACAACTACTCATTTATCAGATAGATGAAGCCTCTCTGGCTAGTGGTGAATGAGGTTTCATAAATAGTTAAGTATAACATACAAGACATTACAAAAAACTTCAAATTACAAAGTTGTATTTTATTAGTATTGTTTTGAAATAACAACTGCTTAAGACATTAAAATCGTCACTGATCATATATTCTAAACTTTTAGGGAAAAAAGTGACACAAGAATCGAATTTCCTGAAGAATAATATCCCCACCTTCCTCACCACTGGGAGCGACGCCAACATGACAGGTCGGTGTTTGTTGCCAGGATCTATTGGTAACATCTTTTTCATCCTCGGAGGACCATCTAAAAGGACTTAACAAGACCTAGTTAGTCTAAATGACCGGTTTACTGAGAATTCAGACTGGATAAGAATTGGGAAAAACGGGAAATACTAATATATGCTGAATTTGCTGATATATTGTAGTGGACGTCTCCCCTACAAACTGCGTATCGCATTCCACTGTGCCGCCTTCCCTAGCAACCAACCAGATGTTACCGTATCTTAGCAACGAAACTATTCACCGGCGACTTCTCGGGTTTTCCCAACATGACTCATGGCGGCTGCTGCGGGGTATATAAGCTCTGTCTCTCCATTGAGATTCATTCTGCCCATTTTCCTGAACAAGCAACATCTCCTCCAGCAAGCTCCACGCTGTTAACATTTCATTCAACCAGGAGGCCAGCAACAGGCAACATCTTCTCTAACGAAGCTCCTGCACATCTACCTCCTTCAACAAGCTACTCACCGAACGTCTCTACCGTGCAGCCCCTCACCACACGGCACCTCCAGCACCAGACTGTCTATCATATAACTTATATATTATACAAGAAAACCACATTAGAGTTTCCTTCCATCCTGAGTGCTAGACAACATTAATATCTCGATACCCCTACAATATCTACTAAGCACACCAGGTATTAATATATGCAGATTTATTTGCTGAACAACAGTTATTAATATATACAGGTACGTTTACTGAGCACACCGGTTATTAATATATACAGGTATATGTATTGAAGACACCAATTATTAAAGTGTTCAGGTATTTTTACTGACACTAGCTGTTAAAATATGCAGGTATACCTACCTTTATTAACAACTGATGTATTCAGTTAATATGTAACTGTAAGATTGTACCATCGTACGATATGTTTTCCCATGTTGAGATGGGGGCTTGTCTTTGGCAGCGCCCGGTTGCCAGTCACCAGCTGACGCTGTTAGAATAAAGTCTACAAAGAACGTGGTCTATGACTCCAACCTCTCACATGGCGCACTGAGTAGGATATGTCTGGACCCGACACGCCATTACAGCCCTGACAAGAACGCTGACATGGCCCCTACACGTCCACGATTCTCGACGCCCTCAAGGGGACGCCAGGGCTTCTACACCGGCCGGGAACACCATGCGCGCCCAGCAGCAGGCCATGAGTGCATTGATGGCTCAGATGGCGTCTCTAGGTGCTGGCGGTGGTCATGCTTCTATGCCGGTCATGAAGCCCTCAGCAGCTGTCGCTCCAGAGAAGTGTGAGGCAGAAATGCCAGCAGCTGCGTTTAGGACATGGAGGCGGTCCATGGAGTCATGGGTGCTGTTGAACGGGTGGTCACAACTGGTGGCCACACTCCACATTCGCCTGAACTGCGTCCCTGCACTCCAAAGGGTGATTGACTCGAGATACCCCAGCGGTCAGTGGGAGCAGCTCTCGCCCAAAGAAGCCCTGGACGCCATCAGTGGAATGGTTCTTCAATCTTCAAACCAAGCTGTGAAATGGAACGAGTTTTTCAACAGCAAACAAGGTGAAGAGGAGCCCATGAAAAGGTATTTTCAACGATGCTTCGCAGAGGCAGTGGAGTGTGAATTTAAATGTCCCACCTGTGATAACGACCTCTCTGAGTACATGCTATTACGTAAAGTTATGGTGGGCCTGAGTAACCCAGTGTTGAAAAGGGAAATTTTCCAGGGGTACTCTAGTTATAATAGTGTTGAAGTGCTTAGAAACAAATGCATGTTATTTGAGGCAGCAGTGAGAGATGCTGGTGTATTGTGTCGTACGTCTGGCCAGGCAGTGGTGGGAACAGCCGCGGAGGCAGTGGCGGTTGGTGATGACGTCACCGGTGAGTCTGAGGTAGCTGCCGCCCGACCTCGACACCCCAGTCGCGCGCACTGTGGTAACTGCGGCATGTCACATGCCTCTGGTAAAAGTAACTGCCCTGCAAGTGGGGCTACATGTCGCAATTGCTGTAAGGTTGGTCACTTCAAAAGGTGTTGTAGGAGTAAGTCAGCCCTAAGTGCTCCTGTGGATGTGTCAGGCGCTGTTACAGTGGCAACAGCCCAGCTATCCCGCCACCCCAGGTTACAAGTGTTCGTGTCCCAGGCCGGGGGCAATTCCCCCGCCACCCCTGTGCTGGCTGTAGCTGACACGGGTGCTATGGTGTGTGTGGCAGGCGCATCCCTGCTCCGGGACATCGGTTTGTGTCCGGGGCAACTTCGGGCCCGTAATGGCCTAAGGGACGTGGCGAACAAACAGCTCAAGTGTCTGGGGTCTGCCCCCTGCCGCCGCAGGGAGGGCATCGGCTTCGTCGTCCTGCAACAATACTGTGCCTGTGCCTCTCCAGAGACGCCCTTCTGCTGCAGAGGAGGGTGGCGGTTGGCTCTGTGTGGTAGCCGACATCTGAGCACGGCCGAGGCCGGTTATGCTGCAGTAGAAGGGGAGGCCCTGGCTGTGGTGTGGTGCCTGCGCAAGGCCAGGCTGTTCCTCCTTGGCTGCCCGAACCTCATTCTGGTGATGGACCACCGCCCCTTAGTTGGCTTGCTAGGGGACAGAGCCTTCACGGATGTGGCGAATCCGCGCCTGTTCAGGCTCAAGGAGAAGACCCTGCAGTACCGATTCACGGTCAAATACTTGCCAGGGAAGCGGAACTGTGCAGCTGACGCCCTATCCCGCTTCCCCTCCCTCAGGGCGGCGCCTGATGCGGAGGACGTGGACCAAGAGGAGGACCTGTGCGCTGCAGTGTGTGCAGTCACAATCGCAGCACTGGATCAGGATGGGTGCATCACTATGGACGAAGACACAGTATGCAAAGCGGCTGCGGACGACCCAGTGTACCAGATTCTAGTGTCGAGGGTGCTGGCGGGCGACTGGCACCCCCACAAGTCACAGGAGGTGGCCTGTCTGGGCCCGTACTTCTCGGTGAGGGACAGGTTGGCTGTGGTCAGGGGTTTGGTCACCTACACCTTTGACCAGGGCTGCGTGTGCCTTGTCATCCCCGACTCCCTCCGCCACCGGGTCGCCGTTAACCTGCATGTGGGGCACCAGGGCCTCGACTCAATGCTCAGGCGGGCCCGGCAGTCTGTCTATTGGCCTGGCATGGAGGGTGACCTGCAGTATCATCGGTCCCGGTGTGCTGCTTGCGAGACCCACGCCCCTTCCCAGCCTCCGGAGTCGTTGGTTCTGACCCCAGCGCCAGACTATCCCTTTCAACAAGTGGTGGCCGATTTGTTCCACCTGCAGGGCCGCACGTACCTAGCATATGCTGACCGACTGACAGGTTGGCTGGAGATCGCCCACTTCCCCAACGAGGCCACCTCTGGAAAAATCATCGCCAGTCTGCAGGCCTACTTCACGAGGTGGGGGGTACCTGAGCAGATCTCCACGGATGGAGGTACCAACCTTGCCAGCCTTGAGATGACAGATTTCCTCAAGTCATGGGGGGTCGAGGTGCGCCTCTCGTCGGCCCACTTCCCCCAATCCAATGGCAGGGCAGAGGCTGGGGTCAAGGCTGCCAAGAGGCTCCTCAGGGATAACACTGGGCCCGGGGGTAGCCTGGACTGCGATAGGACATCCCAGGCCCTCCTCCAGTACCTGAACACGCCTCTGCGGGGGGTGAACAAGTCGCCCGCCCAACTTGCCACCGGCCGCCAGCTCCGTGACGGCGTTCCCGTGGCCAGACAGCACTATAAGGTGGACCAGCACTGGCGGCGGGCACTTCGTATGAGGGAGGTGCGCTTGGCCGAAACACAGGATGGGGTCCTGTCGCGGAGGGAGGTATCCCGCCAGCTGGCTCCCCTAGTCGTGGGCATGCAGGTGCGTGTGCAGGACGCAGCTACCAAGCTCTGGGACAGGACAGGCATAGTGGTGGAAGCCCGCCCTCACAGGCAGTATGCCGTCAGGTTGAGTGGCAGTGGCAGGGTGTCCATCCGCAACAGACGTCACCTGCGAAACGGCTCCACACCTGTGCCTACTACTCCGGTGGTGCACCAAGCTGTGCCTCCTGGCCCCCCTTCTGCTGTGCCCTCCATACCCGCGCCCTCCTCCGCACCCACGGCCCCTCCCCAGTCGAGCGCGGCCAGGCCCAGGAGAGGCCGTAGGCCTCCGGGCTGGTTAACGGACTACGTGGTGTAGTGTATGTGATGTAAAATCAGTTTAGAGGTTTTTTTTTCCTTTGTTTGACTCGTTTTTCCTGCATTATTGTTGTTTTTATGAATGCATTGTTTTCCTTTTGTTAGTTCAAATGTGCATTGTCATTTCCTTTTAACTTGGGGGGGGGAGATGTAAGATTGTACCATCGTACGATATGTTTTCCCATGTTGAGATGGGGGCTTGTCTTTGGCAGCGCCGGGTTGCCAGTCACCAGCTGACGCTGTTAGAATAAAGTCTACAAAGAACTTGGTCTATGACTCCAACCTCTCACAGTAACATACAATACCTGCCTTCGGCCTCACTAGTACTGACAGTTGGGGTCCATTCCACCCCACTAGTACTGACAGTTGGGGTCCATTCCACCCCACTAGTACTGATAGCTGTGGTCCATTCCACCCCACTAGTACTGATAGCTGGGGTTCATTCCACCCCACTAGTACTGACAGTTGGGGTCCATTCCACTCCACTAGTACTGATAGTCAGGACCCATTCCACCCCACTAGTACTGATAGCTGTGGTTCATTCCACCCCACTAGTACTGATAGTTGGGGTTCATTCCACCCCACTAGTACTGATAGTTGGGGTCCATTCCACCTCACTAGTACTGATAGTTAGGGTCCATTCCATCCAATAGTACTGATAGTCATCTATGACCTATGCATTTATCACCAGGTTTATCTTTTTTTTTTTGAGAAGAAACATTCGTCTGATCATTTCCTTCTATGTCAACTGTGCCACCCATCATCATACCACCAGTTAATATAGTAAAGAAACCGTGGCAATAACATCCCCGTCCTATCCCCATGTGCACATGTCGTTGGCTCAGAGTAATTAGAATTTAAAAATAAGGGTAGTATCTGAATTTCTGTCGAGTATTTTTTTTCAAGGAGAGGAAAGGGGGGTTCCATGTGCCATGGCATAATGGTCAGTCCGACTCTGGGTGCAGAGTTACGCAGGTCGAGTACAATATTATCTACCTGCAGATATTGTAGGTGTTGTAGAACTGTTGTACAAGAACAGGAGAATCGACCCAGAGGAATGTGAGTTCAGTATTGCTGGATATGTCTCATTTACGAACCTTTCTCAAGAAACTTGCAAGAGGGGTGTGGTTATCTATGCTAGGCAAGACCTTAGAGCCAGCCAGGCGAGGGTACAGGGAGAGGATGTTTTTGAAGAGTCCAAGTGGTGTAAAATTAAATTAAAGGGAGGGGACTTACTTATCGTCGGATGTATCTACAGATCCCCAAACTGTGGCCCACTAAATCAAAGGAACTTAAGAACATTAATAAACAAAGCGGCGATGCTCAACCATAGCCACCTCCTTATCATGGGGGACTTTAACTATGGCGACATCGACTGGAGAAACGAGTCCACCCTGAATGACTCGTATAACCCTGCTACTCTTTTTGTAGAAACTCTGAGAGATAATTTTCTGTTTCAACATGTTTGAGACCCGACACATTACAGAGGGGAGCAAACACCCAAGCCACTTGACCTCATCAAACGAGGAGGGTATGGTGGCCAAACTGGAACACCTTGCCCCAGTTGGCACCAGTCACCATATAGTGTTGTCATTCAGATTTAACTGTTACCTAGTTCAGGATAAAGCCAGGCCAAGGTGCAAATATTACAAGGGAAATTACAATGGGATGAGGGAAGAGATGAGGGGTATCAACTGGCCTGACTAATAAAGGTACAAGAACGCAGACACTGCGCTGAATATCATAACTAGTAAAGTGACCCATTTGATCGATAAATATATACCCAAGACCAAACCCAGTGCTTCTAGGAATACTAGGGGATCCCTACACATGAACCATGCGGCGGTCGACAAAATTAAGAAGAAAACCCAAAAATTCAAGACGTGGGTTGGGTCAAACGATGAGCAAGACAGGAGGATGTATGCAAGAGCCAGAAACCAAGCAAAGATAGAGTGTAGGAGGGCTGAAAAGGAGTTCCAGAGGCTGGTTGCAAGCGAGGTCAAGTCAAACCCAAAGGTGTTTTACCGCTATGCAAAGTCGAAATTGAAAACGCGAGTAGGAGTATCAGACCTGAGGCTGGTGGATGGTAGTTATGCAGATTCTAACCAGGATAAAGCTGAGGCATTGAACAGCTTCTTTTCCTCGGTGTTCACAAGAGAGGATGCAACTAACCTTCCTGCGTTTAAGGACAGACGGTTCGACACAGCATGTGTTCACAGAAGAGGGTATTAGAAATAAACTGTCCAGGCTAAAGGTCCATAAGAGTCCCGGACCTGACATGGTGCATCCTAGAGTGCTAAGAGAGTTGTGCAACGAGCTTGCAGAGCCCCTGAAGATCCTGTTTTGTAAATGCCTGGATGAACAAATGGTTCCCAGTGAATGGAAAGTGGCTTATGTGAGTCTTATCTTCAAGAAGGGCGATCGTCACTCCACGAACAACTATAGACCGGTGAGCCTGACCAACATAATATGTAAAGTACTTGACAGTATTATCAGAGATGCCGCAATGGAACATCTAATACGAAACAACCCTGTAAAAGATTGCCAACACGGTTTTATGCCGGGGCACTCCTGCTTAACACAATTGCTCAAGGTATTGGATATTTGGCCCTATATTCTGGAACGGGGTGGTAATATCGACAATATTTACCTAGATTTTGCCAAGGCTTTCGACTTTGTACCCAACGAAAGACTGAAAATCAAACTGGAAGGGTACGGAATTCGGGGAAATGTCCTAGCGTGGATAGAAGACTTTCTACATGACCGCAAGCAGTGTGTGGTGATTAGTGGCATGAAATCGTCATCTGTACCTGTCACAAGTGGGGTACCAGAGGGCAGTGTATTGGGCCCGCTGTTGTTTGTTTGTTTCATAAATGACATGCCTGACGTTGTACACTCCTCCATACAAATGTTTGCCGATGACGCTAAGTTATTTCGGGAAATTAAGAACCAAGCGGACTGTGAAGAGCTGCAGAAGGACCTCTGTGGGCTCCAGAAATGGTCGAAGAAATGGCTGCTGAGATTCAATGTCACGAAGTGTAAGAGGATGCACCTGGGGCGTACCAACGGTAAGGAGGCGTATCATATGTCCCAACGGGATGAAGAAACTGCACTAGTTGAGACTGTATGTGAGAAGGACCTAGGTGTGTATGTTGACAATGAGATGAAGTTCACGGGCCATTGCGAGAAGAAGGTAAATCAGGCAAATAAATTATTGGGTCTTATAAGAAGGTCGTTCAGATATCTAGACGGTCTGTCCCTCGTAACGATCTTCAGGAGTGAAGTGCTTCCCCATCTGGAGTACTGTCACCCCATCTGGTCCCCGAGATATGCTAGGGACTGTCCGTTGGTTGAAAATGTTCAAAGGAGGGCCACCAGACTGGTGCCTGCACTTCGGCACCTCAGCTACCCTGAGAGATTGGAGGGCCTGAACTTGCCTAGCTTATACTACAGACGGGCAAGGGGGGACCTAGTTGAGGTGTATAAGCATCTCAGGGGGCACTACTCAGTTGAGTGTCCTTACTTGGTGCTGGTGGACGCTCGCCCCACAAGGGGTCACAGCTCAAGATTGAAGAAGCCGCAAGTTCAGAAAACTGTGAAGGCAAACTTTTTCGGAGTGAGGGTTGTAAACTCTTGGAACAATCTACTGGAGAGTGTTGTGACGGCACCGAGTGTGAGCTCTTTCAAGACAAGACTTGACCAACACTGGAGCGGGTTCAGGTACATATAGGAGCCGGTGCATGCCCAGTATTTTCCAACAGTACGAGACAGAGGCGTGACCGATCGCCCGGGCGGCTAGCGAGCCGATATTTTGGTGAAGATAAATGAAAGGAAAAGTAATCAGAGACGTGACCGATCGCCCAAGCAGCTAACAAGCCGATCTGTGGCGAAGAGGATAAAAGTAAAAGTAAGGGGGGAATTGAGTGTGAAAAAAGTTGGGAACTACTGATAAATGTATACTCACACTGTACAGTACGTATACATTGTATACCAGCACGATTTATTTACATTGTATACTTGCATTGCCTATATACACGCTATGCTGTATCAAAGTACACTTTAATGAGGATGATTTTACTGAAATGAATATCCATCTGTCGGTAGTAACTTACCTGTTGGTCTGTATACTTGCGTGGTCACTTTGCTTACTGAGCTATATACCTGCATTGTCTATATGCATGCTGAATTAATGTAAACTTGCAATGACGATTTTACGGGATATCTTTCCATCTATTTATCTATCTATCTAAGTCAGCCAAGAGATGGCGTGTGGTAGGGTGGTGGGTGGGGAGTGGTGGGAGTGGACCGTCATGGCTGCCGCGTCCCTGGTGGGGTGTTGTGTGAGTCGTGGAGTTTGTTGATAAACACGCAGCAGGGCAGTCATGACCACCTCTCTGCTGGAGGCTTCTTGACCCTATACCTCCTACCACTCACTCTGGTCAGTCATCACAGTGTCTATTACCTATTCTGCAGGTAATAGCGAGTGTGTTGTGTCTTGCAGTGCTGTATATAAGCAGGAAATGTTAAGTGTACCGCACCATGGTTTACCTGAACTGGTGTGGGTTCAAAGTTTGTGTTCTTTAGTGACGGGGTTTAAAGTTTTTAAAGGTAATGGAAGTGAAATTTGTTTGCGAATGACTATTTCATGGTGAAGTAGTGCTATTAAAGATGGACTGGATTATTTTTATTGTTTGTGCTACAAAAATCCCAGTTTGAAAACATACTAATGGAACATTAAACAATCTATGTATATATATCTTTGCAAGAAACCATAACAGATAGCACTGTGACACTACACACTAAAAGGTTTCATGGATTGCCAATATTTTCCGGTTATTATTGACAAGTTACCCTTCGTTGATTTTTCATAGGAAATCATTTTTATAATAAAGTAATTTCACTGTGTTTGGGGTATTTTTGTAGTAGTTCACACAACATTCATACCCCAAATCTATTGTCATATTCGAAAAAGACGTCTAATTTTAAGGTAATTTTCTTCTATTACATTACTGTTGGAAACATATAATAACAGATAGCGCATGCCAAATTTTTTATTTTATTTAATTCCATTAATCTTCCCTTCATAAATTGTCATGTGCATGCGTTCCCGTACACATCATGTGGCCAATCAAAAGCGTTCTTTCTTTTTTGCCACCAATTAAAATGAATTGTGATTTCTGCTTTAGAATTTGCAGTATTTTTTGCCCAATCAGATTCGATTGTGATTTTGGGTCTCATGCTGCGAAATTCAAATTAATTTCCAATCATGGAAGTCTGCGATGGGTGTCACTTCAATTATATGGAGTTAATTGTGCCTTTCAGGTTAGGTTAGGCTAGGTGGTGCACCTCCAACTCGGCCCACACATTACTAACTCGGCCCACCTTGCACACTTCAAACAAGCAGCTGACTAGAGGCTCAGGAATGAGTTTGAGATGTTTTATGTCTCTTAGTTCACTAAAATACAAAAAGTGTGAATTAGTGAATACAGTACCAAGGGTTCAATCGGTATGAAGGACAAATTTTATAAGTTATTAGAACTTGATCAATGAACCATGATTCACATTCGTAACTTATGCTTCTCAAGGTGAATTCAAATAGGGTTTGAAATTATTGCTTCCAGCAATTTGTCTACAATTGATGTTAAACTGATTGGATAGTTAGAGGATAGTGATCTATCTCCCTTCTTGAAAATCGGTATTACATTCTCTATCCTCCAAGATTCTGGCACTACACCCTTTTTTAATGACTTGTTAAACAAATTTGCTAAGGGCATACTAAGCTCTTCCTTACATTCCTTTAATACTCTGTCAAATATCTCATCGGGACCTGGTGACTTAATAGGCTTCAGCTTGTCCATTTGCTTGCTAACATCGTTACTAGTCACTACTATTTTTCTTAATTTATTTTCTTCACTATCTCTGTACAGGTATATAGTTGGTGCCTTGGGTATCATGTTTAAATTTTGGGCAGTGAAAACTGTTGAAAAATACCTGTTCAGATTATTGCTCATTTCTCCGTCGTTATCAGTTAGCTCGCCGGTATTGGTCCAATCTTGTCTCGTGTTTGATATATTTGAAAGAATCCCTCTGGGTTTAACTTTGCCTCCCTTGCTACCTTCAGTTCATTATTCCTCTTTGCTTTTCTTATCTGTGTCTTAACCCATCTGGCCTTATAATAATCTCGGAGGTAAACTTCACGAGTTATTCTCCAACCTATAGTCTTCCTTTGGCCAATAATATTCTTTAAATGATTATTTATCCATTTGGGGTCATTGTTATTTGATCCAAGTTTTCTGTATGGTATGTGTATATATATATATATATATATATATATATATATATATATATATATATATATATATATATATATATATATATATATATATATATATATATATATATATATATATATATATATATATATATATATATATATATATATATATATATATATATATATATATATATATATATATATATATATATATATATATATACGATATATTAATAAGATAGAATGAAAAGATAAATAATAACAAATCAATTCCCCCCTTACAATTTATGCTGCTTTTTATCATTGTACTGTTATCATTCATGCAAAAATGTGTAAACTTTTACTTTTACATTTTAGTCCGAGCTCGTTAACCTAAGTGGTCCGAGTTGGTTATTCGAGATGGTCCGAGTTGGATGTGGATGAGTTGGACTGTAACCGGTTAGGTCAGGTTAGGTCATCCCAAAAAAGGTTATGTTTATATGTTTTTCTTGCATTTTTTGGTGTGTTTTGTATTCACTTGGCCATGATTTTTGTCGGAAAATGTTTGTTTCTCTCCCCCAAAACCTTGGTTCTCAACAGTATCTCCTATCTCGTTGGGGGTAGAAGGGGGCGATAACAAAAAAAAAAAAAAGGCAATTTTCAATGGAAATCAAGGTCAGAACCAATCAAAACACTAGAAAAACATAGTTTTGACTGTCTAACGGAGTTGAGTGAACTACTATAAATTTACCGTATTTTGTTGTGGACATTGTCGTAGATTGGGCAAATATTTTATAAAGTGGTTACTGTATTTATAAATTAAAGGCAATGGATATTTTGCCGTGACCGTCAAAATTCCTACTAACACTATTTTACCGTGAATGCGCTCTGATTGGCTAAATGTTCATTACCGGCAAACAACACGAGAACGATATGTGACCTTGGCTCCGGCGGCATTTGGCACTTATTTTGTCGTGAGTCAATTGTTGTGTAGCTATGAACATACCTAACCATATTTTTGTTGTGCATGGAAACTATCATTATAAAAAGAGGTGACATTTACTAGAACCTAATACAGTGGTCCCTCGGTTAACGAACGGTTCGATTAACGAAATTTCGGTTAACAAATTACCTCCCATAAGGATCTTCAATTCGGTTTACGAACTAAACTTCGATTAACAAAATCCTTACAACAAACACGTTTTGTTGTGAGCATCAGCTGATGGGTTAGTCTGCCAATTCAGTAATCTGTTCAGTGTTTACATTCATTTCCATTGGAGTAAATATCAAGAAAGTTGTGCTCTTTAATATTTTTGCATTTTTTATATTAAAAATATTAGTTATTTTAATTTTTTTTAACATATTGATAATATATGCAGTACAGGGAACTAGTTTTATGTGCGCCCATCAGCCCCTTGACTCACCTACCAGGCGTCAGTTTGGCTTTGTTTACAGTGGAGTGAACATCAATTTTGTTGGTGTCTTGAATATTTTTGCATTTTTACATAAAAATTATTGATCATTCTGAAATTTAGTTAACATATTGATAATACTGGCTGGAAACACCTTAGTTAAGGACGTTCAGGTTACGGGCAAGTCGAAGGGAATGATTGAAACCCGTCTTTTGACGCATTCAATATTTATTGATGTGATCAAAACCTGCAGAGGAGAAGGCGTTCATAATATTACAAGGTGATCCATCCGATACATAATTAGTTAGTCTCACACAATTTTATCTTAATTACAATTTATTAAACATACTGACATAACACAAAGTTCATAACTCTATTAATCTTAACTTCGCTTCATTCTGCATTGTCTTATTACTCCAGGTTAGGCAGAAACGAGTAGGCGTTACTATTCAACAATATTTCAGTACCGAGGGGTATGTCATCACTTAGGCTGTACTTACAAGTGCGGGTCAATGCAGATCAGTATGGTGTTCCAAGAGAAAACAGTATTGCGTAAATCGTCCCAGCACAAATTCTCGGACAGAAGGCTGGTCTTCACAGCATCACTAGAGAGGGCGATCTGTCTCATGGAGGGACGGGCAGCCACCGCCACCAGTCTAAGACAGTCCACTCAGCAGAACCAGGACTTGTCTGTAAACACTTCTGCATCTGGCGAGGTCACAGGTCGAAAGATTTAATGGCATCACACGCCAGCACTGTAGCTTAAGCCAGCGGCGATAACACAGGCTATATAGTGCATTGCAGTGTTGATTTAAATAAAATAATCTTGAATTACACCAAGTGAACTTAAAATTTTATTGGTGAAACTACTGTATCAAGCATGGGTCCCCTGAAAGGTGATTTATCCTCCTTCTCTTCTCCCTTCTCCTCCTCCACCACCCCCATATATAACACTCAACACACACTTTTTGTGGAGAGAGAGAGACACTCTTATTTTGGATATCAATATAAAATAAACTACAAGTACAGTTAAGTATTAAAGGCACTGACATCTTGTTTTAGGCTTACTTCAGAGTTGTAAATAAAAAACCAAAGCAAAACCATCTAAATCACAAGACTTGGGTACAACAAGCCCTGATTTAATTAAGCATCTTCATAACCATGACTAGTGTCTGCATTCAAATACTGTACTGTACTTGAAAAGAAAGACAAGTTTTGCAACTTTTTCTGTACCAAGGCAATACCTTAGTTTCAAATGAACAAGTCCATTTAAGGAAGAGACTGGGAACAGTTGTCAGTCAAGAAGGGAAAAAATTTGATTAAATTTTTTAAAAATTTTATAGAAAAAATCCAATTTAAATGAAATAAATAGGAATTAAAATAAGTAAATAATGTTTTTTTCTAAAAAACCCGAAAACAAACAAACAACAACCCTGGTATGTATAGGGTATATACTGTAGTCTGTGCAGGTACACTATACTGTACAGTACATAGATTGTGCACAAGTAGGCAAGTGGAAGGAAGAAGTAGAAGATGGTCACAAGAAAAAGATAGTTGGGGAAATTATTTATTAAAAGGATGATATGGGGGTCAAAAAGTGTGGCTGAGTAGGTGGAAGATGTCTTTAGCTTTTTGTATTAATCCAATTTTTTCTTTTTTTTTTGGATTTTTGGTAAATCAGATCAGTCATTTTAATGTAATTTTTTACTTATTTCTGTTTTAGATTTTACATGATTCAATCACCAGAAATGTTTTTTATTCTACAGTATTTGAACTTTCTCCATGTTTTAGCTATTTGTATGATATAGGCACAGTACTGTAATTAGTTTCTTGTTGACAGATAGGAATGGCATCGTTAATCATCAGGCATTATCCATTACAATATACTCTAGTATAATTTGATTAACTTTTTTCAGATTTTGATGTTATGGGTTTCGACCTGACAAGGTTCCAGGGGGAGGTGGACGAGGAGCTGCTTTGTCCTATTTGCTCAGAAGTTCTGGAAGATCCACTCCAGGTACATTTTGTGAGATCTATTTTTATAATATTAGCCTTTCCTTGAATGATCATATTTGATATACTATAATTGTTTATTATTATAAGGTTTGTATTTGCACTAGTACATGTGCCAACTTTTCAGTTTTCTCAGAATTTCCCCAATTTATACTATAAAATTCTGTTTCCATTTTCCTGATAAATTTTGATGCAGTACTGTATCTTCAAATATATATTTTGTTCAAAATTAACCTTTAGAGTGTAGTGTCACAGAACAGCTGAATGAGTAATTTTTTAAGTTTTGGTGAATACATCACAGAAAAGTGAAACATACAGTACATATTAATTTTTTTTACATTAATTTTACTACAGCTACAGCTAGGGTCTTATTTTCTTCAATTTCTTATGTAGATGCATTGTCACAGGTGTAAACACTACCGGTAATGAAAACAATGCTGTCTCGTCTCCTCTTGTGTGTTTTAATATTCTACGTATTATTAATGAATTGTATTGCTCATTTCGCATGTACAGTATAAAGATCAATTCAATCAGATTCATATTTAGTACTAAACAATAATGAATTTTTTGTACATATTCTTAATAAGATAAATGACACTATGTTTGCTTGAATGCACACATATATGTTGGCGTTCCCAATCCATCTCGCTTTCTTCTTTGCCATTAATGGTCAGCTACTTCTATTGTTCCATTTATTAACATTAATAACATTACTTAAAACATATATATTTATTTTTTTACATTAATTTTACTACAGCTACAACCAGGGTCTTTTTTTTTCAGTTTCTTATGAAGAACCATCATCACGGGTGTAAACACGAACAAAAACAATGGCGTTCCCTCTCCTCTCGTGTGACCATATTATTATTGATTTATATTGTATAAGGTGTATTCATAAACATTATTTAAAGAATATACTGTAGTTTGCATTTTTCATTAATTTTATTGTTTTTTTGGGAAAAGGGGATAAAAAGCCACACAAAAGATATGAAAAGGTCTGATTTTTTAACGTATCTCATTATTAATGCTTTATTTTAATGGTAATTAAAGATTCGCGATACGATGATTCACCTTACTCTGCAATATTAAAGGACACATTACTGTCGATATTTGAGGCTTCACTGTACCTTGAAATTCTGGAGATGGGTGATATTTTTCCTGGTTCGACAGATGAAGTAATATGCAATTTCTGGAACTTACGAGAACATTTTTCCATTGCCCACCGGAAAATTCCAGGGATGAGGGATTATTTTCTGGCTTTGAGAGCTGAAATAATGCATAATTCTGAAACCTCCAAGAACATTTCTCCGTTACCCGGAAAATTCCTGAAAATTCAAAGGATGAGGGATTTTTTCTGGCTTAGAGAGAGTTGTCTCATTACCCGGAAATCTCTTATTCCAGGAAGTGCTCTGCACCAATTGTTCTGACTAACCGAGATATCACTTGTACAGTATATCCATTTTCCTCATCTGGGATAGTAAACATGACCTTGAATATCTTGAACTATCACTCTGTGAACAACTCAGAGCTTTGATCTAGTCAGACTCTTATTATATTCTGCCGGGTCTTTGACTGTACTGCACAGTTGGCTCCACTTAGCATTGCCTCTTTCTCCTTGAGGTGTGAACCTTGAAATTTGAAGTGTGAATTCGAAGCATTCAATAGTGAGCGGGAGGGAGAGGGTGGGGGTAGGTGTCTTTCTGTAACTCAGTTGAGAGAGATTACAATGCAGAATCACGCTTTGAAAATACCGACGGGATTTCCTCAGTTGAGTGTAATCGTCTAGTTCTAGCCAGTTTAAAAATACTAAAGTTAAAATAGGATGAGAGAGGGATGAAGTCATGCTATAAGTAAGGTGTTCCTTTGCAAAGGGAAATTAATAAGCAATGGGATTATGGATATGCAGTGACGGCTTAAGCTTAATAGGAGCCTGAGGCACAGATCAACTTGGGGCCCCCTCCCCTCAAGGTATATATATGCAGTATAGCAAGAACAAAATATACCAAAATTTATCAATGATTTCATCAATATTCAGCTTCTGCAAAATAACACATTCAATGTTCATAAGAGACAGAAAATTGAGACGTTGCTAGGACATCGTTGAACGAAGTTCATGTTTTATATGCTTCAACTTCGAGAATGTTTGGATTTGGGGGCCCCTTAGAGTCGGGGGGCCCGAGGCCAGTGCCTCAAGTGCCTCATGGTTAATGTGGCCCTGTGGATATGAATGAATTTATATCTTGTAGAAGCAGCAAAGTTTTAATCTCTTGGCTAGGAGATGGAACTTCCCCAGCTGAATAAAATCGTCTGGCATAGCCAGAATAAAATAGATAAGAAGACATCGTAGTGAAGTGATAAATTAACAATCAATAAAATCAGAAATTTGACATCACACCTTTGTCCCCGTCTCATCCTATTGTAACTTTAGTATTCATCTGGCCTAGTGCTAGATAATTACACTCAGTTGAGAAAACCCGATTTGTATTTAAAAAAAGTTATAATGTATTGTAATCTCTCCCAACTGATATACACTTTCTGTCCTCACCCCAGTGGCCCCCCCACGGAAGGACACCTACCCAAAACACCCTTTCCTTCCCTCCCACTAGCAAATGGTTCAAATTCACACTTAAGAGTTCAGGGTTCACACTGTAGAGAGAGAGAGAGAGAGGATTGGCAATGCTATGTGGTAAATGCAGGAGTGGAGCCAGCTGTACATGTAATTCTTTTTAATATATGTACAGGCAAAACCTATTTTCCCATTGACTTCCATTATAAAACTGGAGATGCGTTCCTAAGGAATTTTTTCGGCCCCCAAAAAGTAATTCAAACACTTTTATTAATGAAAATAAACATTTATAAACACATACAATACAGTACATTAAATAATTTATGATATACCTTCTTAAAACACCAAGTTTAATATCCAATGTAATACCTTTGTGGCTTGTTTTTGCACTACTGCTGTCACTTCCACTTGATGGCCTCTTTCCAGTCATCTTGAATAAGGGTAATGCACTATACTGTACTTACTGTATGTTTGTAAAAGTTAAATCCAACTGCTGGGGCGAGAAACATGCGTGCACACTGGATGTAAACAATGGACTGACTCCTCGTGGCGGTGCCACGCTTGGCGGTAGCAAACACCAAGAAATCCACACCAAACAAATTATAATTTTTAACAACAAATTATAATTTTATATAGTGATTTTTTTTAAATTGTTAAAATTTACCCCAATTTCCGTAAGGGCGGATTTATGGGCCGTAACGCGAAATTATTGGTCATAATTTACAAATTCCGTAAGAGCGAAATTCCGTAACCCGGGCTTCCGTGACGTGGGGGATGCCTGTACAAAATTTTTAGTGTGCAGAATTCTCTTAGCTGTAACTACGAACTTTATAAAAAAACACACATACATGAAAGGTAAAGCTATTTCTGTATACAATACAGTACATATTGTTCTTTCCCATATTATATCAAGGATTTTCAATTAAACTTTGAGCTTTGTTTATCCCCCTCCCATTTTTTCCTGGTCTTCAATACAGTATACTGTACAGTATCCAGTTTGGCAACTCTGGTATTTGCGAAATAAGTGAAGCTGTACTGTAAGATAAAGAGATTAAGTGAAAACAGTAAGATTATCTACATAGAAGTGGATATAGACATGATGTGTTGAGTCCCGTAATAGGAAAGAATTTTGTGAATAAGATCTGATCTTCAAGTATATGTCACTGTTTTAGGTTTTTGATAAGGTCCTTTTCACAGTTGATGTTAACCCCCCTTCTCCAGAATACGTATATCTTTTCAAACACTTTTATTTCAGGCCCCTTCATGTGAGCATGCCTTCTGTAGCGGCTGTATCAATGAGTGGTTATCCAGGCAGCAAACTTGTCCAGTTGATCGCCAACCTATTACCTCCTCCCAGCTTAAGTCTGTTCCTAGGATACTCCGAAGCTTACTCTCAAAGTGAGTTTAATTTGGTGGTTACTAAAGATTAGTGTGGGGCAGTGGTGCTCAACTTCTTTGCAAGAGGGCCAAACTTAATGTCTAGCAGTACTTGGTGTGAGGTAAACTATATTTATAACTCTATAAACAGTTACAGTAAGTCCTCGATATATGCGAGTTCAGCATATGCGAATTCATTTATGTGTGAAGACCCTATTCCTACTAGGAATTCAAGTAATATGAGCAAAATTCAGCCCTATGAGAGATGTCATACTCCCTGATATGGATTCCAACCCTGATGACTCTGCAGGTGTCACTCCAACACCATCACCCACTATGTAAAACCTCTACCACCTTCCATCATCTCATCTACCCAAGTTGATGTCTCTGCTTTTATTGTTAAGTACACTGTACTGTACACTTGGTTTATCTATTATTTTTTTTAAATAATATTGTATTGATTTGGTTTTCAGAAATGCATCCCTTGCATATATTGAGGACTTACTGTATTAGGCTCCAACAAAAAAAGGTATAATATTAAAAAAAATCGATGTTAAAAGTTAAACATATACACTATAAACAGAAAGGGTAACTCAGCTGTGATGATGTCACGCATTTTGGTGCATTGATTTATGGAGGGGGGGGCATATAGAAATTGCTTGCTGGCTGGATCTGGTCTGCGGGTTGCTGGTTGGACATCTCTGGCATAGGTTATACTCAGTTTATGAGGGATGACTGTTGTTTGAAATATTAGTGGATGAAAGTAAAATATTTATTAAAAAAGAAATACCCTGTATGTAGGATTCGGAATTTTGATCAAGAATTTTTAGCGGAAAATATTTAGATTGAAATGATGTTGATGAATATGGTGGAGGTTTGAGAATGTGCTAGAGGGACGTGTGTGCTACAAATCTCAGTGTCAAAGATCTTATATTCTTAATCAGGAAAGTTAATAAGTTATTCAGAACAAATTCCTTAATGTTCTTGCTTTAGATATGGCCCAAATATTTTTGATTGCCATGTCAAGGTTTGACGCTCTTGTTAATTGATTAGTTAATGTATTCTTAATGAATTTTGGAGTAGATTTACTGTAATTTAGAAGACATTTTCAAGATTTTGGATGCACTTAACTGTGAAATAAGTCATCATTTGTGGCCGCTAAAACAGAGTAAATGAAAGCAAGCTTCACAGCATTAGACTAAAGGCTGACAAAATTTGTGTATCATATACACTGCCATCCATATCCAAGACCATTCAGATTTTAAGGCTGCCATTGTACCAATAAATGGAGGATGCTTTGAATGTTTGGATAGCTAGTGATTTATTCTGAGGTAGTGGAAATTCAAGCTTGTTTACTCAAGAGAGATGGCAAGCCAGCTAGTAACAGCAAATTCACAGCAAGCCAAGGCTGGCTTCATAGCTTCATTAAAAAGCACCAAACTATACCATGTGACTCACATTGGGAAGGCTGCATCATCTGACACAGCTCCTACAGAAAAATTAAAGGGAGAATTGCAAAATGATAAAGAAAGGTGCAAGAAACATGTAAAAATAATTTTTGGCTTATTTATTTGAATGTACTACTTTACATTAGAAATACACCTGTATAGGGGGTCCTTGACTTACGAATGCCCGCCAATAAGAATGAGGTTAAACTTTTTATTTATATTACAGTATTTTATTTACCTGATGACTTATTTCTTACTTTAATTTACTGTATTTTGTCATTCTATTTTTTCTTTTGTCTGAAATTAAGTGCTTTTAGATGTACAGTAACCCCTCGATAACTCGGCATTTCATATAACTCGCCATGGACATGGTCTCAGAATATACAGTTGGTCCTCATATTACGCGGTCCCGCATTCCGCGTTTCACCGTTAACGCGGTGCCTTGCCAGAACCTAACATTTTCACATTCCGCGGTCGTGAACCCCATTACGCGGAGAGCGGCTGGCAAGCCGCGCCATTTTTGGATCCAAACCTCCCGCCATCCACCATGTTGTGTAAGAGGCGCGAAAATGGTGCGCACAAGGTCGCCCAGTCATCAAAACATGACCAGTTCTTCACCCGCCACCCACTACAGCCGGCCCAAGTCAGTGATAGTGATAATTATAGTGAGGATATGGACTTATATGAACTTTGGGGGGTTTGACAAAGAGGCCCTGCAAGCCTCTGTGGTGGATAGTGATACAATTGATACAAGTGATACAGGTGAGGGCCAATAATCTGCCCTCTGCCTCGGAACCAACCGCCCATCCCCGTGTGCCCAGCCATCTTTTCTACTAATGTAAGTGTTAAAAAACCTAATATTATTGATATTTCTCTTAATTATTAATTGTGTGTGCATGCCATCATAAAGTTAAGATAATATTTTTACTACAACATAGTTGTGTGTCGTCAAAAAGTGGAGTTTGGGGATCGGCCCGGACTCCATTTCAATTAATCCCATATGTTATGTTATTCACTTTACGCGTTTCTCACTTTCCGCGGTACCCTCCGGGTTACATTAACCGCGTAATATGAGGACCAACTGTATTATACTATAACTCGGGAAATGTCGAGTTATATAAAATGATCTGGGATAATCGTGGTATGTCTGACCACCTGTATCACCTACTATGATGCTTCATTCTTTGCCTGCAGTGCTGGCAAGTGCTACTTTTTTTACATTTAGTTATTACATGTACAGTCAACCCTCGCTTTACGCGGTCCCACTTTACGCGTTTCCACGTTTACTCGGTACCCTGCCGAACACGGAATGCTCATTTTCCGCGGTGCGTGTACCCCTTTACGCGGAGAGTGGCTGGCGGTCCTCTCGCGCCGCGCCATTTTTGGATTCAAACCTCCCGCCATCCGCCATGTTGTGTAAGCGGCGCGAGTAGGTTGCGCAGTGTATGTCTTTGTTGCGTTATCGGTGACGTCATATGACGTAGCGGACTGTGATTGGGCAAAGCATCCTTACCTCCCTCCCTGCTAGCTGTGATTGGTTTAATGTAGTGCTATGACGTGCCCCGCCGCTGGAGCGTTCAAGCCCCTTGACCTACCGCGTCAGTTACACCCCTCCCGGCTACACCGTGTATATCGGTATCCATTGTTCCATAAGAATGGCTTCCACCGGACCACCACCACCACCACCACCACAAAGAAACCTTGCATTACCTGGACCCAGCCGCCCTAAGCCAAAGAAGACACGACGTTCCTTAAGCTACGAAATAAAATATAAGATCATACAAGAGTTGGAGAAAGGAACAAGGCAGGTTGATCTCGCGCGCCAGCATGGTGTTAACGAATCAACTATCAGGACAATTAAGAAGGATGCAGCCAAGATAAAGGAGCACATGAACATCACAATGTCTACAGGTGCTTCTATGATCAAGTATTTCCACAACCAGGTGCTTCTCAAGATGGAAAAATTACTTGTGAGCTACTTGGTGCGTCAGGCGCGACGGAACATGGTGGTGGACACGCGCTCAGTTAAGGAGTACGCACGTGAACTGTATGCTGCAGTGTCACGAAAGATGGGAATTACAGAGCCCAAACCCTTTAATGCTTCCTCTGGGTTGTTACAGAGGTTTAAGAAGAGGAACAAGATCACCAATATCAACATTGGTGGTGAAGAAGCTAGTGCTGACCGTGTTGCGGCTAGGGAATTTCCTCCGTTTTTACGTGAGATTATGGAGGAAGGACAGTACACCAACGACCAGGTGTTTAACATGGACGAATCTGGTCTTTTTTGGAAAAAGCTACTTTCCAAGACCTTCGTTGTGAAGAATGCCAGCAAGTGTCGGGGCCGGAAGTTGCAGAAGGAGCACATCACCGTCCTGTTTACCACCAATGCCTCCGGTATCTGTAAGCTCAAGTTATCGGTGATCCACACAGCACGCAAACCGCACGTCTACAAGAGCATGGACATGACCAAGCTAAATGTCCACTGGCACACACAGTAACAATAAAAGAGTTTTATATACAGTACCTTTTTTCTTTTTATTTCTTATTTCTATTTATTTTACTCTTCTTCTCCTTTCTTATTCTCAATCTTTCCTTCTTTGTTCATTACTCTGTATACTTGTGAGATGCTGGAGGTTGAGTGGGGTTCACTCTTGGTGGGAAATACTCACTCATACCATTGTTACGAGAGAGAGACCTCGTTGTGTGACTGCCTGGTGGCGAGATAAATATTAGCTGTTGAGGAGCGATTGACAACACCGGTGCATGTTACCACCCCTTTCCACTCCATCCCTCTAATCACCCACACCTTTTTTTTGCTTTCTCACTCCATATTTTAAAATGTTATGTAATAGTTGAAGGGATACATACTGTACACCTTTGTTCAATTTTTTTTTTTTTTTTTAGATTAGCCCACTGGGCACAGGTCACTGACCCACATCTGGGCCTGGGGGAATTTAATAATAATAGTAATTCATAGTAAATAAAATTTATAATAAAAAGTAAAATATAATAATAATAATAATAACACTGTAATAATGATAGTAAAGAAAAAATAATAATAATCAATAGTGAGAAATGCTATATGTACACTATGTTGTCTTGTCAATAGTAAGAGAAACAATTGAGATCCTGCAATTGTGTGTAAATGAGGCAGAAAGACAGATCAGCAACCTGGGACTTGGTCACAATATTTGTGATGCCATATGGCAGCAGGGTCTACCATTAGACAACACATTATGCTTCCAATATCTTCCCAGGCAGTAGTGCCTCCCTGTTTGATAGCTGCCTACTACCTACTACCTCTAATTTATACTTATCTCCTTAAGAATACTTTAGTTTTGTCTATATTCAAGACTTCTTCAGGTCATGAGACCCACTAACCCCTCACCCAAGAAAGGGTGACCTGGCATTCCATCCCTTTAAATTCAGTTGCCTCTAAAGATGTCTTGAATTAAGACGAAAGCTAAGGTGCTCTAATGTACGTATTTAGTTGACCAAGAGGTAGCAGTGAGCAACCATGCGGTGGTGGCAGGACACAGAGTGAGTGGATAAAAAAAATGATGTGTCAAGCGACGCGTGGCATGTTTAGTGTGGAATTTAACGGAATTATGCTCGATTTAGTGGAATAATTCAGTAAATCGAGCGAACATAACGGAAGGCTTGAATTAATTCGTGAAATTGAGAAAATACTACACTTACAAAAATTAAAGATTTAAATGGAAAAGTTGTAAATAACTTTGTAATTTAAAATGCTGTTGCATGGATTTTATGTTTGCATTTCTTTTTTGTTTCTGACGTTCTTTTTCATCATATTTTATTGAATGTGTGTTTCTTCACAAATGACTGCTCTATAATACTATTTTGCAAACAAAGTTGAATCTAACACCAACATACGAATATACGAGTAAATATCATAAAAGAGCGGGTAGTGTCTGAGCTCTGTAAATCCTTGGGACTTACTGATGCTTGCAGGCCCACAAGGCAGTTATCCCAACACCTCATATTCACGTAAGTTGTGTGGCGAGAATGGGAAGACAATGGCATGCATTTTGAGACTTGAACCATGAAAATCAAGTGAAATAGACTTGTGGCGAGTTTTTGAAGTTGATATTTTCGTCATCGGAATGCTAACTGGAGCCTTTTGGATGACAAAATATTTGTCTTCAGCCCACCAAAGTGTTAAATTTAATCTTTATACTACTCTATTAGTATCTGGAGTATTTTATTGATCCAAGACAGTTAGTGTACAGCTACAATGGACAATGGAGATTATCATTTTTACCACTTGCCAGCTTACAAGCTGTGTGGGAGGTCGGTCTGTTCTTTGTAACGACCTTCATTGTCCATTTTTAGTACAGAAGGATACCGAGAAAACCTGATTTGTTTGGTAGGGACACACTGGATAACACCCTTCTCACATCCAACCTGGGAATTAATAGACAACACAGTAGTGAGAGGCAAACGAATGTTTGTCTTTGATGTGCAGCGTAAAGCCACATCTGGCTTTCTTAAGATCACACACACTAATATTTTCTCCAAGCATAATTTTGAAAAAAGATATTAATACGGTATATTGTGTAGATTACTATTTTCAATAGGAGTCCACCGGTTATTTGAATATTTATATATAAATGTATGGAATATTTAGGCATGTTATTTGCATTAATTGTATGATGTCACTCCACACTCCCAGAATCAGTGCATTTGCATAATTTCTCTTAGAATGTTAGCACAAAGTTAATTTTAAAGAGGAAAATATTCTAATGTGATAGTGTATTGTACTTGATTTTAAGTTATTTAAATGTTCACCTACTTAATAGTATCTTCTTCATGACAGGTTATATATATCTTGTGACAACAAACCTCATGGTTGCACTTCAGTTGTAAAACTTGATGCCTTGAGTTCACACTTAGAAGAATGTGAGTTCAATCCCAAGCGTCCAGTACCATGTGAACAAGGCTGTGGCCTGGTGGTGCCCAAGGATGAATTGAAGGTATGACTTATTGTACACTATTTAATCAGATTTGAAAAAAATGTATATATTTTGGGTACTGTACTGTATATTCAGAATTAAGGGTCAAAACTTTTTTTTTATCTAAGTTAAAATATTGATGAATGGGATTAGTTTTTTTATGACTTTTTAATATTCCAAATGTTCTTTTACTAGGTGTCAGGTAAGAAAAATACGAATGCATCTGTATACAGGTGCTCCTCTACTTAAGAACGTACAACTTACAAACTTTCAGAGATAAAAACATCACCACTGAGGGGGATTACCTGCCAGAACAGGTGTTTAATGTGGATGAGACTGGATTATTTTGAAGAAAATTCCAGATAGAACAAGCATTACCTTAGAGGAGAAGAGTGAACCAGGTTTTAAGGCTGTATTAAAGGGTATAGCTGTACTAAATATCCATAATCGTTTCATTTTTTACAATATGTTTGGTGTCTACAAGAGTAAAGTTGGACTTACAAACAAGCCTCAGGAACGTAACTCGTTCATAAGTAGAGGAACACCTGTACTTACATTCGTTTGTGGGAGTTTGGAGCTTGATGAAGTGGTGCTCTGTGCATAGGGAGTTATCTGGTTACTGAAGCATAGGATCGCTGTTGGAAGAGGGTGATACGGTGGTGGTTGGTGGAGAGGCGGGTGGCGGAGAGGCGCGCGACCGGGAGGTGGGTGGTGAGGTGGCGGATGGCTGGGAGGAGGAGGGTGGAGCAATGGTGGTAGTGGCTGGTTCTTTCTTGAAAGACATTGTGATTGGTAGTTGTTTCTTCTTTGCTTTGAGGTCTTTAAGCATTTCCTGGTAGGTAAACAATACCTGGTTGATTTCTCGGACCATCTTAAGGCAACGTTCCATGGAAGGGTCGTGGTCAACAATGAAATCAGTTACCATCTTCACCTGTTGAAATAGTTCACCAAAATTGTTCAAGCCCCAACCTTCTTGTTGCAAAACCATAATTTTTTCTTCATCTTCCTCGGCACTTTTTACCAACTATCAAATCCTCTCCTGTGAGTTCCTCTTCATGCCCATCAATCAGCTCTTCCACATCTTCAGCAGCCATATCCACAAACCCCCTCACCACCCAATTGACGTGCAACACTCACAATGTCATTCACATCTAATATACCATAGGACTAGCCGTGTGTCTGTTCTGGACAGCTGAAACGGCACAATCGTTTTTCATCAAACTTGGTGGGAAAATCGCAAAAAATTCGTAGAGTGGAACAAACCTGGTCCCATGTCGATGGTTTATTTAGGAAGGCATTAATTAAACATTTTATTTACGATGGAAAACGATGCAAGTCTATGGGCTTGGCGCGCCCTAATTAACCATGCAAGTCTACGGACTTGGCGCACCCTCATTCGCTGTACGCTGTTACGAGCGTTCAAACTTTCACAAGAGCACGAAGGGCCTGCAATCACTTGTCCTTTACTATGGACTGAAATCCCTGGAAGTTATTCACACACTCAACCATAAGGTTCACCAACAAGCACTCACCGTCTCTGGTTTGAGTTCATTGAATGCTTCACTGATGTTAGTAATGCAGTTTGCAGTGCTGAACTCCTTCCAACAGCTTGCAAACTTCAAAGTCAGGGTCTGCATCCATGGCACTATGGATACAACCAAAAGAATGTCAGGTGTAATATGCCTTGAAGGTGTGTAGTACACCCTGATTGAGATGCTGAATAAGAGCAGTTGTGTTAGGGGGTAAGAACACCACCTCTACACCTGGATGACTAAACTGCAAACTTTCTGGGTGGCGTGGTGCATTATCTATCACTAATAGCACCTTGAATTCCATCTTCTTGGAAGCAAGGTACTTTTCCACTTCCTGGACAAAGCATTTATGGAACCAATCCTGGAATGCTTGCACAGTTACCCATGCCTTTCTGTTTGACTGCCAAAAACCTGGCAAAAGGTTATTGTTTCTACCCTTTAAAGCCCCAGGGTTTGCTGAATTGTAAAGCAAGCCAGGTTTGATCCTTTGACCAGCTGCACTGCCACAGAAGATGAGTGGCCTTGGTTTCCTTGAACCCAGGGGCATGCCTCTCCTGTTTGTTTATGTACATGTAACAGCACCTTTGCTTTATATAAATATTCACCCAAATAAATAACACCAAGTTATTCACTAAGTGAGTCACCATGTTATTCATGACTCTAGATAACTTGGCTTGCATCTCTCTCAAAGGCCGAGTGTGGGTCATCTGATTTAGCAAACAACCGGCTCGCTCTCTCACGCTCAGAGAGGGCATTTCTCTTACTACCACTGGACAGGGAAGTCAAGCACTTAGCTCAAGTGTTATCTCAAAGTGATATTCACAACACATCCCTGGAAAGGCTCACAATATATTCTCTCAGATTGCACCTGTGTATATACCTGCTTTGATAATAAACAGAAAATGCCAAGATGTGTTTACATCCAACCCTGCCACTTAAAGAGTTCCAGGACTTAATTAAAACAATTAGTGTGATACCAAACCATCTATCACATACATTCTACCAGGCATTATTTTTCAATATAGACCAGATTCATCGGCATAAACACTTGCTCTGGTCTATAGCCTTTCTCTTCTATTATTTCCTTTAACTTGGTAGGAAATGCACCTGCGGCTGTGTGGTCAGCTGATGCGACCTCCCCAGTTAGCTTCACATTATGTAAAGAGAATCTTTTCTTAAAATTCTCGAACCACCCTTTACTGGCACTAAAAGTTGGTTCAGTAGCCGCACTAGCCCCCTTCACCACCTGTTGACTCATAAAAATGGACATAAAGACTTAGTTTTCTCACGAATCACGTTGTTGTCGATCGGAGCATTTTTTGCGGTGCTGGTCCTCAATCTAAATGTTCAGTGCTTTTTCTGTTTAATATGCTTTTGTCATGAACATCCTGCACCACTTTAGTACTTGTAGGAGAACTTGCTTAAACAGAATCATGAATTGCTTGTTCATTCTTCTTTATAAACCACACTGTGGATTCGTTCACACCAAGCAACCGTCCAACCACGACAGCACTTATCCCCTCCTTTAACATGACTAATTATTCAACTTTGTCTGGGCCATCACTGACTTATGCTTTTTACGTTTCACTCCACTAGCATCACTAGCCCTGACACTAGGCAGTCTTTTAGGGGCCATTTTCACAAAAAACACTAAAGTTTTGAGAGTACTGTGCAGCACGAGATGCTAGGTCACAGGCACTGGGTGAGCGCGAACAGAGGGAGATAGATAAGATGCCACGGGCGCATGGGGTCATTCGTTGCACTGCAGTAAAATGCTCGCAAGCAAGCTACCATAGCCGCCATCTGTTTACTGTGAATCGCAAACCTGCAAATGGCAGGTCTACTGTACTACAGTAATTCACAATAGGCTTTGGAAGATTTTAGTGGAATCTGTTATGATATAACGACCCATGATCACCAGATGTAAATTTTAAGTTGATATGTTGAAAACCTGATTATGTTGTAAGCCAAGTCTAATAGCTAATTCTCATTTTATTTCAGGACCACAATTGCCTTCGGGAGTTACGAAGCTTAATACAAAACCAATCAGGAAAAATTGCTGAGCTACAGCAGGAGCTTGCTGAGAACAAATACCAGCTCAATGAACAGAAACGGGAAATTCAACTCTTAAAGGTACTGAGGGATTTTTTATGGCTGTGTTCAAAACTTGGATGTTCCTCCATATGATTGCAAGACACTTTTGTATTCTATATCAAGTGACAAATTTGTGATAACGTATGTTGGATTTATGAATTTTGTTTATATTCATATTTTTCAGGAAATTGCCATGGGTTGTTTTGAGCTGTGATTGAGAATAAATAGTCACAAGAAAATTTTGTTGTGATAAGAGCCATAATGGAAATATAGTTTGTTATCATTGTGAGATGCATTTTTAGTACATTGGGTATAGTATTACTATCATGTACTCTGCTTAATTAGGTTATTATTTAAAGAAAAGGCTGATGGCTATATCAGAGAAAGTACATAGCAGAGTTATTATTGAAGGCCCTGATTACAAGTGGAAGGAGCCAATTAGAATCAACAGAAATTACATGTGCAAGGGCAGAATTAAGAAAGCGATAGGGAAATGAAAGAAGTGTTGGGTAGAGAACCAATCACTACTTACTGAAGGAGATGGATGTATTGGGTGAAGCACATATTAGGAGATAGAGGATGGACATCTAGGGAGCAACAATGGTGTTGAGTAATTTAATAGGAAGAACATGTTGTTGCTGGATAAACTAGGTTGTAGGAAGCAGCAAGTATAAACCAATTTAATTTGATGTGTGGGTCCTTATAGTAGAAGGGGAGTGCCATAGCATAATACTTACAGCATTAAGATTGAATGTATGGTAATGAATGAAGTGAGAGTCAGTGTATATGTGTGTTTGCTCATGGAGGTGATGTGTAGAATGAGGAGTTTGTAATAGTTATTGTATATTTTACAGTCATCTAAATGAATGGTTGGTATCATGATTTTTAGAAATTTTTACTCAGAAAATGGTGTCTGGCAACTTGATACCTTTTCCCCTAGTAATTATAAGAAAATTAATTGACATTTATACTCTGAAGATATTGTATTATTTAGCACCCAAGAATAAAATATAAAACATAAAAGATTCCCATTCAGTGGCATTCGTTATTGATGAAAAAAAGTTAAACTTGGTTAAATTGCTTACTTCGATAAAACCACATTCAACTAATAATTTCAGAGTAACAAATGCTTTTCATATTGATCTAAAAATAAAGCAACTTCTAAACAAGGAAACAAGCCATATGAACAGTATTCTATGCTTGAAGTGAGTGTTATCAGCTTGTGTTGCTGTATCATCTCGGACTAGTTGTCTTTTTATATTTTTCCTGCATGCATTTTCTTTGTCTTTCACGCATGAGATTGGTGTAATCGCCTTCTGAGCACTTAAAGGTTAATCAGACTTCACGTTAAACTCGAACGTTATAATTCGGTCAAACCTGTTGAATACAATTCATTTTAGTATTTCAAATAAATCATACATAGGCAATCATACATAAATGTTTAATACAATATATATTCACATAACAATCATAGCTATGTAATTAGTCTAATCTTAACACTTATAATGAGTACTTAATTTGCCATATTTCTATGTTGTTACAATGATAACCGATGCAATGGGCTCAGTCTACCTGTGTAAACAATAAATACAAGTTAAACTTACGTGTTGAAAGTCTCAAGAGAAACAGGTTAGGTGTTGACTTTATGATGGGGGTAGCTACAGTGGCAGTGCCCTGCCCGGCATCACGTGCCCCGCCCTGGCTGGCCAACTTTGCTGCGTCAGGTGTTTATATGCAAACAAGCTCCCCTTACTACCACCCAACACCCCAACCTCCTCTTGGTCTCTCCATCTCCACCATCTCAATACTTTATATACAGGCAGGCATGCCCAATAAACATGACATGACTTACAGCCTAACATAATGTTTGTTTATGTGTCATCCTACTCATTACTGCTTGCGGTAACAATTGGGATATAGTTCTTTTAATCTTTTACTTTTGCAACCCATCTTGAAGCCTTTTACTTGAAAAAAATGTAAGGGAATGCCAGAAAAAAGTTATGGTAGGTAGCGAGAAATGTGATGTAACAGTTCATAAATATACCATCTTAGTCCAACGGCATCCAGCCCACTGGTCAGTCACTCGCTGGGTTCCTGCCAAGTTGCCAGATACCTGTACCTCTTTTTGAACTAATCATACTGAAAACCATGACATCACCTCTTTGGACGATTGTACACTATTCATTAAATATGTATGGTATTATACTTGATAGTACAGTACTGTACTGAATTTACTTATGTTTAATATCTTATAATTGTATATATGCTGAATTTAGTACAGTATATGTAAGTTTGGATTTATTTCAGGATTTTATGAGAGCCATGAGAATCAGTAACCCCCAGATGAGAGCAATAGCTGATCAGATGGAGCAAGACGAGGTTGTGAGGTGGGCCAGCTCCCTAGCTCGTGCTCGAGTCACCCGCTGGGGGGGCATGATCTCTACTCCTGATGCTATGTTGCAGGTAGAAAATGCATTTAGCCATGTTCAGGTATAGTATGCATTTAGCCATGTTTAGGAAGAGAATGCATTTAGCAATGTTTGATGAAGATTGAATTTATTTGGACTTAAACACTACTTCGGTTCAATGGTAATTCTTTGTTTTCAAAATCCATGAAGGAAGAGTTTGAGTCCCATTTCAGGTGGGTTTTGGTGAGACAGTGATTACATTGGTTTGTTCAATGTAATTTTGATGTCGGAGGTTAGTGAAGGGGCCAATTAGCTCTTGATAGTTTTAATCTCGCATATACAGTAAGTCCTCGCTTAACGTGGGGGTTACGTTCCTGAAAATGCGACGTTATACGAAACAATGTGAAGCGGATCAACTTTCCCCATAAGAAATAGATAAAATATGGGAGTTACGTTCCTGAGCTTCCCTTTGCCCCATGAATTACATTACATAAATTCAAAACTCCTTGTGTGATGCCTGGTGAGTTGCTTGTATGCATTACTCTATTAAGTCACATTCATTGAAATTTTATAATAGAAAAACCCAAAACTCCTCTACATGACAGATAAGTAAATACCACTAGGTAACCTTGGTTGGCCAGTGGGCTGGCGTCAGTTGTCATAATACATCACCTCTCCCTCCGCACTTCTGGCAAGACTGAAGGTGGTTTAGGCTTAAATTTTTTATCTTATAAAATGGCACAGACTAAAGTTAGCAGAATATAGACTGCATAGCTGGAATCCTTGCAAAACAGCAAATAATATGAATATAGACATCGTATATTTTGCACAAGAGCTAAAAATTTAAGTCCCTTAAGGGGAGCGTCCAGCTCAGACATTGAAAAAATTGAAAATATCTGAACAAATTCTCATGTACTGGTGTTGCCCATGGCCGTATGTACAAGGAGTTTTAGAGGAAAATTTGTAATATTTATGTTACTGTGGGAGGACCCCCCCCCCCCTCCACTGGTTCATGACCATGACTAGCAATAGTTGCAGTAAACTATTCATCAGAAACTAGTTTATAATTAGCCATAAAACAGCTTCAGAAAATGGTTACTGGCAACTCTATCTTTCTTGAGCCTGTGTGGGGGATGGTACCAGTCTCTTAACAAAAAAAAAACAGTGTCAGTGAGCTTCCAGCTCTCGTTGAGAAAGGGCATATGTGAACTAATGCGCAACACCCTCTCACTGTCACAAAACCCTCATTTGCACCATTATACTGTCTTTTATTGAGATGCCACGTTTAACAAAAAGGAAGATACTACTACAGGAAGCACGGGGCAAGAGTGTTGAGTATTTCAAGATGAAGAAAAAAGAAAACATAGGGGAGGTGACGGGAGCAACACGTGCTCAGCCAGTCGCCAGCATGTTCTGCACACCACCTGCCACTCACACCATGAACTCTGTACAACCTCCTCCTGACACCAGACTCCATACCACCTCACTCTGACACGATGGCCTTTCCACAACAATATGATGAAGATGCAAGCCCTGAGCCAATTGCCAGCACCTCACACACACACCACCTCTCACTGACACCATTGACTGTGCTACCTCCCTCTGACACCATAGCCACTCCACAAAAAGATAATAAATATGCAAGAATGGAGTGTTCTTCACTGCTAGCTATACGTACTAAATTGGTAGCGGACATTGGAGAAGAAGAACCTGACAGTGAAAACGAGTGTGTTTGTGTTATCATCACCCAAACAAGACTAAAGAACCTCCTTGCCTAACGCTGTGCTTGTGCATACGACAGCTGTGATATTGAATTTCAATGTGATGGATTTGAGAGCACCATAACTCTATCCTGTGACCTCTGTGGACTAAAAAAAAAAGAGTCCAAGCCTACAGGAGTACCAGTAGCTTTTCATCTTAAGAAGACTCCTGTCTTGAAGACTAATGTTGGATTGATCTACTTATCAATCATTGATGATTTTGGGCTTGCTGGAATTAGAAGATTGCTGGGTCAATTTGGTATGCCAATTATTGGTAATTACAAATATTACAGGTATCTTCATTACATATTTGATGCTATGAAGACTCACTATGAAAGGAAGCAAAGCAAAATTCTTCAGGCAGTCAGAGAGTTTCTATGAAAAACATTCCTCAAATGTTCCTGATGAAGATGAGTCCTGAACATAGATACAGTATATCGTATGACGGATCTTGGATGAAAAGGGGACATACGTCGAAAGTAGGCATGGGTGTCATCATAGAAGTATGTACTGGCTTCATCATTGACTATAAAGTTATGAGTAAATATTGTTTCATGTGCACTGTCAAGGAAGGACAACTCCAGAAAAAGAAGATTACAGAGCCAGACTTTAGGACATGGAAAACAAGCCACCAAAGCAAATGCACCAAGAACTACGAAGGCACATATGGGGGAATGGAAGCAGAAGGAGCTAGAAGATTGTTTGGGAAGTCACAAGACCTGAATCTTAGATATGAACATTTTGTAGGAGATGGCGACTCCAGCTCGTACAATTCAGTGTGTGCCTTGAACAATGGCAATGGCCCCTACTAGGACACACACACGAAAAAGCTGGAATGCATCAATCATGTTAAAAAAAGGATGGTTACAAGACTTAGGAAGCTCAGAGATGAAGAGAAGGTAGAGACGACAACGAAGAGTGGGAATATTGTGAGAAGTTTGCTGGGTGGGAAAAACAAGTTGACTGACAAGGCAATTGACACTCTAACATCTTATTTCGGCAAAGCAGTACGAGATAATGTAGGGAAAACATTTCTTGACATGCACTTGGAGGTCATGAACACCTTTCACTACGTCTTGTGGTCATCTTGGACCACAATTTTGGATATCAACAAGCATCACTGTGAAATTCTTGAATATGAATTCATCTACCCTTGATGAATCACTGTTGAAGCAAGATACCGATCGTGGGAGGCATAGCACACCTAAGACACAGCCTAGAAAAATGAAAATAAAGACTGCAAAGTGTTCAGAAAACTATGCACCAGGAGCCTTTTGAGCCAGCCTAACAACATAGAAGAGACAACACTATACACCAGTTCTTGTGATTTTTCCTGGCAACAATGAGGAGTGTGGGCACCTCCGATACCCTCCCAACAAGGATAATTCTGTGCCTCACGCTAAGGCATGGGGGGACCAGGAGCCTAATATAATACTGTAATATAATATAATATATAATAAGAATATAACCAAGTTTTGTTGGAGATATAAAATTACGGTATGCAAAATAACACAAAATTACATGTCAAATAAACTCAGATTAGCAAATTACATGACAGTTACCACCGAAAAAAACTTTATCAGCCTGTATCTCAAAACTAAGTTTCTCACACTCAAAACTGTTATATCTCGCCTATTTCTTGACGGATCTCAGTGAAACAAACACTGATCACAAGATGAATCTCTTCTCAACATCAGAATAGGATGCTTTTTTGTAATTTGAATTGGATTTATTTTAGAGGGGCCGAATATTTTATCTCAATATTTTGAAGAAAATGGCATGTGATTTTCAAAAGAATTGTAGACCTAAGCCAAAGCGAAAAATAAACATATCATCCTATCATACTGAAGGGCACCATGGATTCTCTAAACCATATAAATTTCAAGACAGTGGAGCAAATAATAATGAAGGAGAAGTACCTTGAAAATTTAGAAAGGGGGTGAAAAGGGCCAAAAATGAAGGGGGCAGAGGAGGGAGTTTGGGGCTAGAATTTACCTACATGTTGTCCGTAATTAGTGAAAGGAATATCAAAGCATTCGGCCAATAATTAAGGCCCCTTGTATCTCAACCAGACGCTCCCCTTAAGTACATTTAAGTACTGTACATGTTTTTTCAACTTATTTTTGGTAGATATAGTAACTTTCTTCATTTATTTTTACTCATTTATATGCACACACCATCCTAAATACATATTGTAAAAACGGTAAAAAGTAGTCCGTGACGACTCAAACGACACCATTGTACCGAGTCTCTGGGACGTTAAACAAATTTTTGGCCTCTAATGTTTAGCAACGTAGTACCAAAGCAACATTAAGTGGGCCGACATTAAGCGAGGACTTACTGTAATAATATAGTTTCCCCTCTCCTTATAACTTATTCTGGCAGTATATCTCAAGTATTATAAGTTTTGTTGTTAAAGTAAACTCTTGGTAACACGGCATTCAATATCTCAGAATTTCATGTAATTCAACACATACTGTAAATGGTCTCGGAATTTATTATAAAATAACTCTGAAAATGCCGAGTTATATAAAATTATCCGGAAAAATCTTGGCATAATTGGCTGCTTGGGTAACACTTGCCGCGGTGCACTCCACGCTTGGTCAGTCTTGTGTTTTTTATTGTTGTGATGGATGCATACTGGCTCACTCCACCCAGTACCTGCGTCAGCATTCCCTGGTAAAATTTGGTTCCTGTAATACTAACCCAGTAACACCCAACAACCTCCCCCATTCATGTCAGGCCAGCCACTGTATGCAGAATGTCTCCAGTAATACAGTAAATCCAATATCGTAGACTTTATTTAATTTACAGTGCAATTCATTTTATCCGAATTCCAACTATCCGAATGTTGCATGTATCCCAACTTTGTCCCCTTTAGCAAAAAATATAATTTAATCCAACAATCTGAAAGCAACTGAAGTAGTTTATTCGTGTGTCTGACTCCAGTAGCGCTATAACCTCTTTTTAAACAAAAATTGCCGCGATAAACAATAAAATTAATACATAGCATATCATAAAATACAATAGCACATATTTTATGTACAGAAAATAGCTCCTTCCACACTCAAACCATCATATAAGTGATGCCACAGTTCAGCCAAGCAGTCAACCAACTTACTGAGATATGTGTGTCACATGGGAGGGACGGAGGCGGGTGAGTCAGCCATGCAGTACAGCTCATTGCCTTCTCTCACACACACACAGACACACACACACACAGTCACACACACACACACAGACACTCTCTCTCTCTCTCTCTCAAACAAAGGGAATCAAAACAGCAAGCATGAGAAGTGAGGGTTTTATTGTATGACAAATGTGTGTGTGACTGCATGGTGCGAGTTAAATAGCAGCTGTTGAGGAATGCTTGACAACACTCATTTCCACTTCAACTCTCTAATTAACCCACACCTTTCTGCTTTCTCACTCCATATTTTAAAATGCTATGAAACATAATGTTGAAGGGTTGCAACTTTGCTCATTTATACTTATCACGATCTCCCTAAAAATACTTTAGGTTTTGTGTTTATTCAAGATATCTTCAGGTCATGAGACCTACTAATCCACTACACAAGAAAGGGTGACCTGACAATCCATCAGGTCAGTAATATGACCCCACTAATTCCCCACCCTACCTCCACCTGACATTGTGTCAGGTCAGGTCAGGTCAGTTCATTTATATGAGACCCACTAATCCACCATAGCTCCATGGGAGTGGAAAATACCAGTCTTGGTGTCACGCACAGTTTCATTCATGCCCATATCATATAGATTTTTAATTTTTGAATATATTTATTTTGCCAAACTTTTAGATTAGCTATTCTGGATTATTATAGTAAATAAATGGAGTTTCTAACTTAATCAGAACTGCTTTTACGGACTCTGGTAGTTTAGATTCAATGAAAACATCCCCAGCACCCAGAAACGTTCTGGGGAAGTGGGCTAGTGTCCGTCTGTGCAAGATGTCTAGTTTAGACACCCAGAAACTTTTCCCAGTGACCGGAAAAGATTCCGGGGATAAGGAATTTTTCCGGGTTTGAGAAAGTCGTCTGGTTACCCGGAAATCTCTCATCCCCGGAAGTGCTCTGCACCAACTGTTCCAGCTAACAGGGATATCATTTTACTAATGTACATGTAGCTTTCTGATTAAGGCTTGAATAAATGATATATGTTGTTAATTGCAAAGCATAAATATTGCTACTCTGTATTAACTTGGGTCATTATATTTATTTTTAGATGATTTGTGTTTCTAAAATTTAATTTCATTTGCAGGTCTTATGGTTGACAACACCATATAATACCTCAAAAAAAAATGCTTTGTCTTGATATGACACCAATATGATCTTTGTAGCACCTTCAGTTGCTGTTTCAGGTTATTACATATTATGACCTTGAATGACCATATTTGGGGTAAAATTTTTGGGGTACCTTCAGATTCATGCCCCTCAAGTCAAAATCTATATGACCACTTTGAAAAATCACTCTTCACAAGCATTGTATCAAACTGTCAATTCTTACTCCATAGGGTTCGTCTCCACTACTGTCCCTCAAACTCCAGCCTCCAACCCACTCGGATGCCCGAGATAGTTGCCACTAGTCCTGTTTTCACTTATTTAGGCTGTAAATCTGTCGCTAATCATCGCGGGAGATTTGAAAATACAGCGGCGTTTTAAAATGGCAGTGACGCCATAGTGACAATGCCATCCTGCCATTTTAAAATGGCGGTGATGCTTAATTCAACAGTATGCAATATTATTTAGGTTCATTTGGTGTCGGATAAATAAAACATTATCATAATACTGTACTGTATAGTATAATATATTTTCCTGAAAAAAGGAAAAGAAAAAAGTCCCACACTTAACTCCTGACGAGTTCTTGCATCACATTAAATTCCTGGGGTTTTATTTACGGAGCGTGAACAGTTGATCAGCCAGCCAGCCCGGCACCACCACCACTCATGCATCCAGTGTTGCGCTGCCTTTCTCAATTTGGTCATGTTGGTATCATCCAGAGGAAAGAGCTGTTTATGTAATGTAAAACTACTTTTTGTAATAAAAAACCCCGATCTATCTGCCCCTTTTCATGTTGATACAATATGACACAATCGACGAACAATTCAGATACTAGTTGTGAATCTTTGACAACTGAACTGAAACTGCTGAACGTCGTGCTCATTTCCAAAGAAATCAGACCCGGGTGGGCAGTTTTTTTTTTACTCATTTATTTAATTATTTATTTTATTTTATTTTTTTATGTTCCAAATGTGTTTTGTGCTTATTAAAGCAGTTTAGGAATTTTTATTTGCATTTATTTATTATTAGTATTTTTTTTTTGGGGGGGGGGGTATTTTTTAGCCTCTGGAACAAAATTAATTACAGTATTTTTGTTTACATCAATTAAACAATGATTTTCAATTTGATAATTTATAGTGTCTTCAGGTACCTAACCTGTTATTATTGTGACAACTATACTGCATTAGAAAACCTCTGAAACTGCAATTGTGTTGTATTTGCATATATTAAAAAATAAATGATTTCATACAATAGTTTACTGACTGAGTCTGGAAAATTAGCAGCAGTAAGTCCTCGCTTAAAATCGGGGTTACGTTCCCAAAACCGCGACGTTATACGAAACAAAATTAAGCGGATTAATTTTCTCTATAAATAAGTCAAATACGGGAGTTATGTTCCTGAGCCTCCCTTTGCCCCATGAGAATAATTACATATACAGAAAATCATTGCCATTTCTATAGGAAATAGTGCATACATATACAACTACAGTAAAGCCTCGAATAACAACGGTAATGTGTCCTCCAATATTGCAGTGTAAGGTGATTCATCGTATCACGAATCATTAATTACCATTAAAATAAAGCAATAACAATGAGATGCGTTCCCAAGTGTGACATTTTCATATCTTTTGTGTGGCTTTTTACCCTCTTTACCCCCCAAACAATACAAGTAATGAAAATTGCAAACTATATTCTTTAAATAATGTTTCTGAATGCACCTTATACAATATAAATGAATAATAATATGATCACACAAGAGGAGATGGGATGCCATTGTTTTCGTTTGTGTTTACAGCCGGGAGTCTGGGACGATAGTTCTACACGAGAAAATTAAGAAAATAAGACCCTGGTTGTAGCTGTAGTAAAATTAGTGTAAAAAACTGAATATATATGTTTTAAGTAATGTTATTTAATGTTAATAAATGGAACAATAGAGGTACCTAGCTAACAGCTAATGGCAAAAAAAAAAAAAAAAGAGATGGATTGGGAACGCTAACATATACTTGCGCATTTAAGGATACCGCGTCATTTATCTTTTAAGAATTAGTACAAAAGATTTCATGATTGTTTATTACTGAATATGTATTTGATTGAATTAATTTTTATATATGCGAAATGAACAATAAAATTCATTAATAATACGTAGAATATTAAAACACACAAGAAGATAAGAAACGGCATTGTTGTCAGTGTTAATAAATGGAACACTAGAAGTAGCTAACCACTAATGGTAAATAAATAAAGCGAGGCGATTGGGAACGCCAACGTATGAACAGTAAGTGCGTGCATGTGAAAACATATCGTCATTTCTTTCCATATGAATATGAAAGCAACACTTATTTACTGTTCATATATGTTTTAAATAATATATGCAAATGTAAAACAAAAATTCTACTCACCAATGGTGGTAAAGTCTAAAACATAAGGACAGCCAATGAATATTGTGCGAGTTTTTACTCAGATGACAAAGTCATCAGGTTCAACTCTGGCTGAAGCTGTAGCTTTCCATAAAGCTGTTGGTGAAACTGTTACTGAACTTAAAGTTGATGTTGAAGCTGCTTATGATACTGAATTTGATGGTGTAGCTGAAGTTGATGGTTTAGGCCTTTGAATAATAAAGCTGTCGAAAGAGCCTTGCACAGCTGCTTTCTTTTCTCATTATACATCTTTATGTATACAGTAGGTTATTTGCATTTATTTAAATTTTAATGCTTTGTTCTGTTAATGGATCCACTTCAGAAAATATGGTGATTTCTTGCTTCATATAATATCCACAGACCTCTCGCCTTTTTCATATCGGTTTAACACATCTAGTTTCTCAGCTATAGACTTTCTATTAGCTTTTGAAACAACACTATCATCACTTACTCTCTTGCTCATGTTGATTAGGGATGCAAAAATGCTGTAAGAAACCTGAGAAAGTTTTTCTCCTGTTCAGATGCGTGAAAACAAATGGACCGCCAAGCTCCGACTGTTGTTTGCTGGCGATGCGCACTACCACTCATTAGCCAGGCAGTTTCTTTGCGCAAGGTGCTCTTCATTTTTTTTACGTTATTTTTTTTATTTTTTTATTTTTTTATAATATCGGGATTTAGTTATTATTTATATGAAAATATAATTTTATTTTATTTTTATTATATTTTGGTCGTAAATACGAATGAAATAAGGACGTAAATTGAATTGGGTCCTAAATTAACTAGGGTCTTAAATATGAAAAGTTGGTGGTCGAACCGTTGTTTTCGGAGGCTTTGCTGTACTAAGTTTGTGTTAGTATTCACCTATGGGAGGAGGTGGTAGAGCGAGTGTGTGGGGTAGTGAAGCGGAGGAGGCGTATGGCGGGAGGGGAGGAGTATGGTGGGAGTGGAGGAGGAGGGTGGTCAGTTACTGAGACTGCGCCGAGCCAAGAGAGCGTAGCGCGGCCAGACGAGAGAGGGTAATGCGCCGTAAAAAGTAGTCCGTGACGACGCACTGAGTCATCGGGACATTAAACGATTTTTTGGTATCTAAAGATTAGCGACGTAGTACCAAAACAATGTTAAGCGGGCCGACGTTATACAAGGACTTACTGTATATCATATTTTAATTAGCTTTTCTGTTAAATTTTTAAAAGATACTCAGTAGAGACTTTACCTATGACAGTTGCCTTGATCTTTTCAGGCTGTGATCCGGCGCGCCTTGAGTGAGTCTGGTTGTCCTCCGCACATTATAGACCAGCTCATGGAGAATGCCCATGAGCGTCGGTGGCCGCCCGGGTTGTCTACGCTGGAGACCAGGCAGGTAGTGTGTACCGCAGAGAAGTTTGATTAGTTTTGTTTGAAAAATTTCTTTATCCTCTTTAATAATGTTCAGTATTTTTATTTTACTTGAATCTTTTCTTATTCTTATGCTGAATATCCTAATCTATCAGTATAGTCTGATCTTTTTCTTATACTCTTCCACTCATTAAAATCTCATGTCCTAATTTTACTTATTTTTCTGTATTTCACCGTACTATTTCAGCACAGTAGTCTTTTTTTCTTGTTATTGTTCTATTCTGGCCTTTTGCATAGTATTTAAAATGTCCCACAAGGTCTCTGCACCATAGCTATACAAGGTATATGCTTTTTCTTGAAAGGAAATTATTTTTCTAAAATTTATTGATATCTCCTAAAAAGATACCTATGGTAGCTTCACTTTGAAACAACAAGACCTGCATAGGAGTTATAGTAGGTACAGATACTCTTTGAGGTTGTTTGTTTATTGCACTGCTACCAAACAGGGAGGTACTACCGCCTGGGAAAATATTGGACGCACAATGTATTGTCTAATGGTAGACCCTGCTGCCATATGGCATCTCAAAAATTGTGACCAAGTCCCAGGTTGCTAATCTGATTTTCTGCCTCATTTACACACAATTGCAGGGTCTCAATTGTTTCTCTTACTATATTGACAACACAACATACAGTACATATATTGATTCTCACTTTTGATCTTTTTTTCATTTTTGTATTTCTTTATGGTTCTTTATTATTATTATTATTATTATTGTTGTTATTATTATTATTATCTTATGTTATTTTTTTATAATTTATTATAAATTTTATTTTCTATGAATTATTAATAATATTATTACAGTATTATTATTACTAGTATTATTACTATTATCATTATTATTACATTTTCACCCCCCAGGCCCCGATGTGGGTCAGTGACCTGTGCCCGGGTGGGCTAATCCCCATAAAATAAGAAAAAAAAATCCCGTACCATTCTTTAAATTTTTATTAACGATTTCTAGATGAATGTAGATTAAATGTACCCAGTGTTTAACCTTAAGAATTCTTGCTACCATTGTAAACAGCTATAATTACTTTTGATGAAGGGCTCTCCAGATAAGATTCCAGGAAACCTTATTCTAACCTAAGCATGGTCAACCTTACTTGACTCTCCCCATTCCATTCTGTGTCAGTGTCACCTACTGTAAGAGGGTACTACTGAAAAATTAGAAGAAGAATTGACAGTCATTTTATTTATTTAAATTAGTACACTGTACTTGCACTCACATTCGAATAAGAGACATGGGGAACTTCAAGGCATGTAGTTTGTGGTTTTGTGATCAATGTTAGTCCACTAGTTTTGGAATGGTTGGTACAATAAACCAGCTATTGATAGACAGTACACCATTATCTACAAGTATCCTTGATAATCACGGGACTGATAATAGCTGATCTGGCCAAGAGATGGCAGCACGGGCTGCACAGCTCGTGGCGCCAGCTTCCAGCGACAGCATTTGTTTCCCCGTGCTGTTTTGGTTGGTGTTTGAAGACGGTTTCCTGCTCTGTGCTTGTTTTTGGTGCAATTTTTTTAAACTTTTACCTACCCTCCACCATGGCACCTGTGAACAAGAAGAGTGTTAAAGTTCCTGATCCAGTCTAGCGACAAAGACATGTATTCTCTGAGTGAATGTCCAGATGTTCCCAACAGGGATAAGCATGCGCTTGGCAACACACACATTGTGTGTTACCATTTCTTTCCACTCCACCTCTCTAATCACCCCCACCTTTCTGCTTTCTCACCCCATAATTTAATATTTATTCAGTGTATTGTGGAAGGAATATGATGTTGTTCATTTATATTTACACTAAATTTTGTGTGTGTGGGGGGGGTCTGTACATAATACTTGTAGAATTTATTAATCATTACTTTTGGGAATCTTCTTTCGTTCATCTTAGTGGTAATCATGTCCCTGTTGCAGATGAATCGTCGCCACTATGAGAGCTACATCTGCAAAAGAGTCCCAGGAAAGCAAGCAGTGGTGGTGATGGCCTGTGATAATCGCCACATGAACGATGACATGCTTCTTGACCCTGGACTGGTGATGATCTTTGCCCATGGTATTGAATAGGAAGTTGTGAGTGTGGCTGGTGCTATATATGAACTTTATAAATATTTTTTCTTGTTTTACCTTGTTGTTTCACTGATAACTGTGTTTCCTATTTGTATAAATATAATAAAAGTGGATATGCCTTAAGTTGCAAAGGATTTGTTTAAAGACTTTGGTACTATACAGTATTTACTTTTGCAGTGCTTTCATTGTAATTATATAAAAAAAGCCTGTATTTGGATTGTGTAGCAAATAGAAAACCAAGTTTAAATTAGTGACAGTTTAAGTTATCCATCAGAGTTGAGCTTAGAGTGGAGAAGACTTGGAGCAGAAGTAGATGTGTTGGTAGATATGAAAATTCTGCCCATATTTTTTGGGGGGATATTGAGTGAAAAGAACAGATTTATAATTTACTTTTTTTTGTGTGTGTGAGGGGGGGGCAAAGTTATAACCTGCAGCAGTTTTTAATTAAGCTTGCAATAATCCATTTATAGGCAATTAGGACTTTAAACTGATATTCAGGCTCTATTTTAGACATGTTTTGACAGGCAACAAAACACAGCTGAATTATTTACTTTGTCACCAGTGTAAACATTTCTGACCAGAGATATGATGGTATGGTGAAGTTATAGTCTAATGTGATAACCATGCAAAATAATGTCCCATTCTGGTTGCTCTGCTCACCATTTATAAATAAGTTTGTCAGTGAGATTGTATCCGTGTTTTGAAACTTATTTCAGTTGAAGCACAGACATACTGTACTTATGTTGGTTTAGATCTTGTGAGTTACCTAACTGAAACTGATAAGATCACCTGTAAGATAACTGGACCCCACATGCATTAATCTGCTCGGTCTTCAAAACAGATGTACAGATATTGATTTATTTGGTGCATCAATCTGCTTGATGTGGAAGAAGTGGCTGATTGAAGAAATAGATCCACAGTGTTGCATACAATATTTTCTCTCAAGTTTTATGGTTTAAGATAAAAATATATCAGTGTACAGATATTTTGAATATAGGTGATGACAGGTGTCATGATGGGCTACAGTCCACATATTAATACCACAGAAAAACTATGATTACATTGTTCGATGAATGGATATGTGTCTTCAGTCAGTGAAAGGTAAAAGGTTTGCACTTTGATAAAAAGGGTTAAAATGTGTTCACCATGATGAGTAAAAGTGTACTGTAGGGAACAATGATTAGCAAGTTTTGTTGTGGGGAACTAATCTTGAGTGAATATATGCTTTGGGCACATGATTTTTATATGGCTTCGAAGCTCACTTTATTACTGACTTAAGAGGAGTTTGAAATACAGTGGGGTATGCTATAACGAACGTAATTGGTTCCAGAACCTCGTTCGTTATAGCATTCGTTCGTTATAGGATTAATCCGTTCCAGGCCCCCAAATACAACCGCTTAACACTGAAAAAATTCTGTGGAAAATGTAAAAAATACGGTACTTTATCTTACCTTAGTGTTATTCAGCATGCAGGTACCCCTAAACACTGGCACATCACTATCACTTCCACTGGGAGTCTTGGCTTTAAGGTCCTCAAACAATTGTTTAGCCTTCTCACAAATTATAGCTTCACTAATGTTATCACCTGCCATTTCTTTCTCCTTTATCCAAACTAAGAGTAAATTTTCCATCTCTTCAATCACATTACACCTTGCTTTGCTAAGTCTAAAGATTCCCTTAGCCACTTGCACAGTTTTTAACTCCTCTTTATTCTTCAAAATCGTACATATAGTCGATTTAGCCATCCCATATTCATCACTAAGTTTCGCAATGCTTCTTCCATTCTCACGTTTCTTTATAATTTCTTTCTTAGTTTCAAGGGTTATTAGCTTTCTCACTCGCTTTGGACGACTCATTGTTACAATTGTATACTTGTATAACAAAATAGTTATACAAATAACGCGAATTTCCACATCAAAAGACGAAATTTCAACAATAACAGTGGTGCACTGGCTACACAATGAGACAAAGATGGCGCCTGACGCTCTTGTTGTGGGTCGCGGTACAACAATATTCATGCGCCAGGCGAAATAGTCCCGTATTCATCCGCGTTCGTTGTAGGAGTTGCGTTCGTTATAGCATTCTCAATTTTATAGGTAAAACCGTTCGTTATAGGAATATTCGTAGTAGGATCCGTTCGTTATAGCATACCCCACTGTATATATATATATATATATATATATATATATATATATATATATATATATATAGTCTCTAGTCCGGCATTCTGTGGTCCGGAAACTCCCGTGGTCCGGAACGATTTTAGTTTGTCCAATAGGTAGATAGGCAGCTTTTTTCTTTTTTTTTCTTTTTTTTATTTCTCTGAATTATTATTATTATTACAGGAGTATTAAATTTTTGCCCCTCAGGCCCCAATGTGGGTCAGTGACCTATGCCCGGGTGGGCTAATCCCCTTAAAAAAAAAAGCCGCGGGAAATTAAGGTTTGTTTACATCCAGCAGTTCGGCTGCTCTCTCTCTCTCTCTCTCTCTGCTTGTCTATACAGAGTACAACATTTAACCCTTCAATATATATGAGCAGTAAATAAGTGTTGCTTTCATATTCTTATGTAGAGTAATGACGATATGTTTTCACATGTGCGCACTTACATACGCGCAGTCTCACTTTTTTTTACCATTAATGGTTAGCTACTTATATTGTTCCATTTATTAACATTAAATAACATTACAGGTACTTCAAACAACCATATTATTTTTTTTACATTAATTTTACTACAGCTAAAATCAGGGTCTTATTTTCTTCAGTTTTATATGTAGAACCAATCAGTCACTGGTTTCGTAAGCTTTAACATAAACAATGCCGGCAGCCGTCTCGTCTCCTCTAATATTCCACGTATTATTAATAAATTGTATTGTTAATTTTGCACACACATACATTAATTCAATAAAAACAAATTCAGAAACATTAATTAAAATATATATGAACAGTAAATAAGTGTTGCTTTCATATTCTTATGTAAAGTAATGACGATATGTTTTCACGTGTGCGCATGCGCACTTACATACGCGATCTCTCTTTTTTCTTTGCCATTATCGTTAGCTACTTCTATTGTTCCATTTATTAACATTAAATAACATTACTCAAAACAACCATATTAATTTTACTACAGCTACAACCAAGGTCTTATTTTCTTCAGTTTTATATGTAGAACCAGTCAGTCACTGGCTTTGTAATCAACGAAAACAATGCTGTGTCATTTCCTCGTGTGTTTTAATATTCTACGTATTATTAATGAATTGTATTGCTCATTTTGCACACATAAACATTAATTCAATAAAAAAGACATTCAGTAATAAACAATAATGAATCTTTTGTACATAAGAGAAATGACGCTGTTTACACGATTATGCACGTCGTCTGCACGTTGGCGGGCCGTTCAAACCCGTCGAAATTCAAGTTTCCGCCGTCAAAATTTTTATTTATTTATTTTTTGTGTGTTCCAATAAAATACGTTAAGAATTAAAAACTCGCGAAATTTGAGAAGCTACTATACGACATTTAACCCTTCAATATGTCTTCAAAGAGACCATGATGCAGAGAAAGTGGTGCTAGTGCTTCCAAGCATAAGCTCAAGTCACTATCTATCCAGGAAAAGGGTGAATTTCCATGGTCCGGCACCGGTCAGGTCCCAAGGTTGCCGGACTAGAGAGGTACCACCTGTACAAGTTTTTTTTAATGAATATGCTGATCTTACAAAGTCTATAGCTCACATTTACTGCTAGACTGTTTGCCCTGTGCTAGTTCTCAGTGAAATATCTTTCAAATAAACCATTTGTCTACCATTTGAAGAACTTAAGGCAAGGGTTACCTCATTTTTAAAAGGGGAATAAGGATAATGATATTGATATGCTGTATCTCATTGGATCTGACATCATATTGGTGTACTTTGCTCTATTCAGTAAATTGTATTGGAAGGGTATGATAGTATACATTTGTTATTTTTTTGTGAACCAAATTTAGGAATGTAGGATAATGTACATACTGTGTTGATTTAAAGATTAGCAAGTTTATACTTTTGTAAACAATATTACAGGTACCAGAACCATTTAACCACCAAGCTTGGGACCTGAGGGAACCAGTTTCCTGGTCCAAAACCTATTATTTACACACACACACACTTCATTATCAAGTAGATTTAACCTGGAGTAAATAAGAATTTGTTACAATCCTTAGTTATTCTATATTTTGCATATGTCAAAGATGGACAAAAAGTTCTATATGAAAATGATATATAGCACACATAAAATGTAAAAAAATTAGTTCCTTCCTCCTTCAAACATCCTTTGTGTAACACCGAGGCTGAGCTAGCCATTCAGCTGACTCAGAGAAGTGTGTACCTTTCCGCGATGCTAGATTCATTATTGACAAACCTCTCATATATATATGTATATATATATATATATATATATATATATATATATATATATATATATATATATATATATATATATATATATATATATATATATAAAAAAATTAGTTCCTTCCTCCTTCAAATTCCTTTGTGTAACACCGAGGCTGAGCTAGCCATTCAGCTGACTCAGAGAAGTCTGTACCTTTCCGCATGATTATTTTGTCCTTTTTGTTAACTGGTTTACCTGTTGCCTTAGCCTCTCAGATGTTGCTTGTCAGTTTTGTGTTGCTCTTGATTCAGTTCTCTAGATTGATTTGATATTTTGTGTGCATGTGCTTTGGGGTATAACCTTGTTAGAATTTATTCATGGGATCACATTTCAAAGTTTCAAAGAATTTTGAGTTAAAAAAATAGGCAGTAATGATTTTAGTCAGTAATGTATATGGGTATTATTAGCAGAGTTTTGAAATATCCATACATTTAATTTTCATTCTGAAGGTAGTTTTAAGATATTATTTACAATAATAGTTTGTAGGGTAGGACTGGGTTTAGACTGATTGAATGTAATATTGTTGCTTATATGTAGTAGGAATTGATCTGATGTATGATTGATACTAATATAGCAGGATATAAATAAATGATTATTACTTATAGCTTCAAGGGTGTGAGTCAGTGGTGTCAAACTCAAAACCTTTCGAGGGCCAATTCTTATTTTAGTTACTCTCTTCAGGGCCAACACAAGTGCTTTATCACATATATTCAGGATTGAAATTTACAGCTTCACACATTGCCTTACCTGGAATATCACATTTGGGTTTGTCTGATCTTAAGTACGTAATATTCATTTTACTAAATAAACATGATTATATCTATTTCTATCATAATTTCACGGGATGATAAATTTTACCGTCATCCGGCGGGCCACACCTGACCATCTCAAGGGCCACATTTGGCCTGCGGGCCATGAGTTTGACTGACACCCCTGGTGTGAGTGGATGAGTGATGGGTAGAACTGAATGTAAAATTGTTATTAATAACACTTAGTTAATGTAATAATTATGGTTGCTTACTCAAGTTTGAGGATGACCAGTGTTGAGGCCACTTAACTAGGAATCTGTAAGATGCAGAAACTACTGTTTATACAACAGTTACACCTTGACTCAAAGTGTGTGACCCAATGTCAATGAATAACCCAAGAAGACTGGACAACTGACTTATCGCTGGTTAACTATAGTCAAGAAAAATGATTGGCTAGATAGGCAGAGGCATGAAGGATAGGACCAAATGTATGATTGGTATAGTAACTTGCAGGATATTAGGGTAGTCCTAGATGTGCAGTGGCATGAATACCCAGTAAGATAAGATTGGTTATACCTCGTATTATTGTTATTTGTATAGCAGTCATAGGACTCGTAGCTTATAGTGTAATTTAGTGTACAGTGATACAGGTAGGTTTCTTGTAAATAGCTTGCCTCTACACAGGGGAATAATTGCTTATATTCCCGCACTGCATAACAGTTAGTGTACTAAAAGCTATAAATGGCACAGTTGTTCATCATATTTTTTATTATTAATTTTCTCAGTTTTCATTGTGAAAACACTCTAGAAGTGCATTTTATAGTAGCCATAATGCCCTGAATATACAGTATATATATACAGCAGTACCCCGATTTATGCGGTCAGTTGAACCCACAGGGTACCGCGGAAAGTGAAAATCGCGTAAAGTGAACAACAGAACATATGGGATTAATTCCAATAGAGACTGGCCCGACCCCCAAACTCCACTTTTTTCCGACACAATACCTATGTTGTAGTAAAAATAACATCTAAATTTTATAATGGTATGCTCACACAATTAATATTTAAGAGAAATACAGTCGCCAGGTTAATGTCCATTCAAATAATGGACTCAAATCCCCCCTCCCCCCTCATCTCAGCTCACTGGCCCCTACCTCTCTGAGAAATGATTGGGTGAAACACTAGATTTTAACGTTTAGTAATAAATAATACCTCAGACTAAAGTTAGGATAATATAATTGACATTTCTGGATTCCTTGCAGGTCAGGGAATATTTTGAATGTAAACTTCATATATTTTGCACAAAAGATAAAATACTTGCTTTGTGTAAACCAAATTATTACATTAGATCTAAAATGTGTATGTCTAATGCAAAATCCATGATGTTTATATTCAAAATGATAATCATATTGTAAGAATTCCAGCAATGTAAATTATATTCTGGTCCAGTAATTTGTATGAATTTTATGAGCTAAAACAAATATCTTCAGTTAATAAAAAAAAAATATTCTTCACGACACTATCTGTCAATCAAAGTACCCCAACTTGCCTCCCCCACTCTTCCAACCGTGCCAGATGGTCAGTCGGTCCCAACCCAACCCCCCACCTTCCCTCCCTACCAGAGAAATGTTGGGTGAAAAAACTAGATTTTAACTTTTAGTAATAAATAATACCTCATACTAAAGTTAGGATAATATAATTGACATTTCTGGATTCCTTGCAGGTCAGGGAATATTTTGAATGTAAACGTCATATATTTTGCACAAAAGATAAAATATTTGCTTTGTGTAAACCAAATTATTACATTAGATCTAAAATTTGTATGTCTAATGCAAAATCCATGATGTTTACTGTATATTCAAAATGATCATCATATTGTAAGAATTCCAGCAATGTAAATTATATTCTGGCCGGGTAATTTGTATGAATTTTATGAGCTAAATAAAAAAAAAATAAAAATTATACTTCACGCGTATATGAGTAGATGCACCGCGGAAAGTGAAAGTCCGGTTCTGGCAAGGTACCGCGTAAATGAGAAATTGCGGAAAGTGAAACCGTGTAAAGCAGGGTAATACTGTATATATATACATACATACATACATACATACATACATACATACATACATACATACATACATACATACATACATATATATATATATATATATATATATATATATATATATATATATATATATATATATATATATATATATATATATATATATATATATATATATATATATATATATATATATATATATATATATATATATATATATATATATATATATATATATATATATATATAATTTTTTTTTTTTTTTTTTACAGTACTTCCCAACAAACACTTTTCAAAATGTCTTTCTGTCTCCTGCATAAATGGGTTTAATAATTAATAGATAAAAAATAGAAGAGTGTAAAAGTGTTATAAATACATAATTTCTTTTAACAGAAAGGTCTGACTGATATGGCATTGACGATGAGTAAGTTGTTGGCACAGCAGCTTCTCTCACATATCCCTCGCTATAAGGATGTTCACTATATAAATTAGCTTATCCAAAAACTTGAATATTAAACATCTTTTATACCATCTGAAAGCAATATTTGCTTACATGACCCTCCTCACGTAGGTAATGTACAGTCCACACCACTTATAAGCCACAGATTGGTGGCCTCGAAATTCCTAACCAGCAACTTCGCTGGGTTCATCCCTCCCCCACCTTGCAAAACATACAAACCATGCAATTAATCGGTGCTCAGCAAAGGTGTAAAGTCAACCCGAACACGTTATTGTGGATAGGTTTTAGAAACAATGAAAATAATTGTTTTTACATTATTTATCCATGCTGTGTTCGGGTGTAAGCGTTGACTTCACACGTTGGCTGACCACCGATTAGTTGTCTAGTTTGTATGTTACACAAGGTGGGGGAGGGATGGACCCAGCGAAGTTGCTGGTTAGGAATTTCGAGGCCACCAATCTGTGGCTTATAAGTGGTGTGGACTGTGTCAACTGTATACAGTACTGTATTTTATTTAGTTAAGCAATTAGTTGAGTACTGTACCATAATATTGTGTTTTTTTGTTGTTCATGAACATAATTAATTTTTTAGATAAATTATTCTGTATTTTTTTTTTGTTAATGAACCAATTTCATCTTATCAGGTATAATACTGTGTTGGAGTTTTCTTATTGTTGGGGAACTTAACCCTATTTTTCCCCTTTATATAATTATTATTATTTGCTATCCGAATGGTTTTCGAGAAACCTAACCCATTAATATAGCGAGGGGTACCTGTATATTTCCTCTGGCTGCTAGTCATAATCACCCTCATTGTTACTAATATTACATGCCTATAATATTCCTCATCATGGCTATTAATTAATATGCCACACAAAGTCACATGGGTCTTTCTCATAATGTTTTTTAAACGTGTAGTGAGATGTATACTGTATATGGGTAGTTTATGAAAACTTGTGAATGTACATTGTGGAGAAAAAATTAACAGGTATTCAGTTGTTGGAATGGTGTGCAAATTTAGTCATTTGGGAATGAAACCTTGTGTTGAAAAGAAAGGAAAAATGTGGAGGATCATTTAAATGTTGTGAGAAGAAAATCAAAGGATAGGAGAAAGTAAAATGATATGCAAATGAAATTAACTTAGATTTTTATAATCAGTTGTATCTGACTGTGTAACCAAGAACCAAAACAGTATGCATGTGGGGTAAATTTTAGGCATAATGATGTGTATGTACATAAATGATGACTACACTATATAATGTAATGCACTAAGTAATAAACAGGAGTGTTATAGAGAAATGTGAACAGTTTAGGGAAAAAATGTAATAAGCTAGGCTGATGGTTAAATACATTTGATGTCACTATTAACTATGTATTGATCTCTTGTAGACCTAAGTTATGGTTAAAAGGTTCCTCTCCCAGTGAATACTAGTAGACTGGTTTTTCTACTGTATTTTATGTTATTATGGGACGAGAAGGAAATTTCTGATTGTGGACTTGAGGATACAATGTCAAGGTTTTTTGCCATGTTTTTGTGACAGATTGTACTTCAGATGTTCATGATGTGAACCCCCCCCCCCACCCCACTGTCTTAAATGATAAATATGACATGACTGGTTATAAGGAGCCTACAATATATGAACAGATCCTAATAACAGGTTCCTATAGCCTGCCTGACTTCCCTCACTGACATTCCATCTCACTCAGCAGAGAATAGTTCCAAGTTTTTAGGCTTTAGCATGAATCATTATGCCTAACTTTTAGAAATGTGTGCCTTATTTACAGGTTTTTGTTGATGCATGTGTTTTAGGTAATTAAAATCAGAAAAGTGGGTGATTTTGTAGATATTGTGTTTATTTTCTGTAGCTGTTAGAGTTTCTCTTATCCTAAGGTTTATTCTAGTAGCAGTAGAAAAATTAGGACACATGCCTAGTTGAGTTACCTGCCTGTAGATCCGATAATGTAGGGAGTGAGCGTTGCACAAATGTAGTAATTTGGCAAGTGTGTTTCAAGGGCAAGATGTGCATGGTAGTGTTGAGTGTGGTCTAGCACAGATGTCTTTAATAGTTAAGTTTTTAGAGATTAACTTGCGAACAAAATGAAGTGCAATTTTTGTTGCTATTTGTTTAAATATATTCATTCAATATTTCTTGTATTTCTAACGCTCATTCAATATTTCTTGTGTTTCTAACCCTAAGAAGGTAAGAGGTACAGTTGTGGTCAAAAGTAATCATCCACTCCATCATATACAGTGGTCCCTCGGTTAACTAGCACAATCCGTTCTAGAAGGTTGCTCGTTAACCGAAACCATTGTTTCAATGGGTTTTTGGGTAATTGGTTCCAGCTCACCGAAAATTGCCTAAATTCAACAAAAAAGGTAGAAAAGTACACTTACTTTGAGGTGTGTATGTAGAAGGCTCCTGGATGATGATGATGGGAATTAGAATGGGGGTGGAGAAGGGAGAAGAGAAGGCATTGGGGTGGAAGAGAAGTCACCCCATGGTGCCATTTCATCCATAAAATTTTAGTTCTCTTGGTGCAATTCAAGATTATTTTCTTTAAATCAACACTGCACTGCATTATATATTGTCAATATGTAAAATAAATTTCAAAATGACCAATAATTTGCTTGCAAAAACAGAAAAAAAGCATTTAGTTGAAGAGAGAGTCAAGCAAAATGTTACCTCCACTGAAAAGATACAAAGACTGACGCCTGTATGGTGTGTTGAGAGGCTGGATGGCACGCATAAAACTAGTTTCATTACCTTCAATTATGTTCAATAATTGTTAAAATGAGTAAAAAATTTAATATTAAACTTTTAAAATTATTGAATAGTATAAACTTCTTGATATTTGCTAAAATGGTAAGGAATTTAAGCCCTAGAACCGATTACTGTATTGGCGGACTAATACTACAGCTGGTGGACCGCCAAATGCAAGCGAAATCATGTTCAGGTTGGCTCGTAAGAAATTCGTTAATCGAGGGATTGCTCGTTAACCGAAGTTAAGAATCTTATGGAAGGTAAATCGTTAACCGAGGGATCACTGTAACCCCTGCTCCTGGCTGGGTCCTTTCTGCATGGCAAGTCACATAAGGTAGAAAGGGGAATGGTCAACTTGTGGGAGGGTGGTATGAGATGCAAGTTGCTCATCAGAGGTGGGGTGGGGGGGGCTGAAGAAATTAGGGAAATTAATGAAAGAAGGAAGGGAGGGATGGATGTAAGGTTTTTAATAATATTATCTTAGGCTACATGCTTGAAAGAGTAATAGATGAGTAACCCTTATTTTATTATTACACTATTATGTGCCATCCATTTCCTTATTTATAAGGTTAAGGTTTTAAACAACAGTAATTAGATATTTACAATAACATGGATCATTGATATGGAGAAATATTGAATCCGAGGGAGGAAATCGCATTTATTTTTAATATTTACTAACAGGTCATAACAGAATCTCAATAGCCCATCCTTTGTCTTCCTCGCCTGTCGATCATGGTCTCCCTGGCCTAAAATGATATCATTTATATGAATTAAGAGTTCAAATATGTTTTGTTTACATTATGCACCCAAAATTAGTAATTTTAATATATGAAATGCCAGTAAACCATTAAAAATACTGTCCATGGCCAATTTTCCAAGTTCCCAGACTCTTCCCAGCGGGTCAACCAATGTTTCACAGTCTGCCAGGTGACCCAAACCTCTCTTGCAATTTCTGACACTTTATGGCCAGCTGCTCGCAAACCAATAATTTGTCTGCGACTCACCAATCGATGTCCTTTAGCGTCCATGCTGGGCTAGGTGTGGAGCAGTGGCTAAACACTATTGCCACTACCACTTCATCACCTCGCATAGATTTTCACAACTCTAATAAATATATTACAGGGTGGACAAGTCACATTCTGTCCAACAAATCAATCTTAATTTTTCTTATCAGTAAATAGTGAGTTTTTTCCAAGAACAGTAGTGGTGAGAGGTGGAAGTGATCACGTAACAGCCTAGTTTTGTGTTACTGGTGGTGAGTAAGGCCAAATGCAAAGCCATGCCCCCCTCCTCTCTTAGGTTGTCATTCAAATAAGGGGCTTTCCCTCATGGAAATCAGACACCTTATCAACCCTAATGACACATTACCTGCCAAAAGCTCACTCTCATTCCACCCCATTACCCCAAAGGCATAGATAACTAAGGGAAAGTTGAGTCTATATGATACCTCCCCAGACACCTGCTCTCCTAGTTGGATGGTTATTTGGGGTTTAGGCCTATCAACCGCCAGGTCATTAACCCCTATGCCCCAGTTGACATTCCGGAACGTCCATCTAGGACGCCCCGGTTGACGTTCTGGAACACGCACCTTTTGTTTGAATGCCCAGCGCAGGTTATAAGGTTCCAGCATGACTATTTGCTGGTCACACCACACACAGGGTTGCGTGGGTGGGCTCAGTGCAGTTAGTATGCATTAGCCTGTTGCCATGGAGAGTCGTCTCTCAACCTCTCACGATAAAAGTAGTGTAGTATTACTGGAAAATAATGCTATGATTATGTTATAAATGTATTCATTTGTGGAATTATTATTCCAATAATTATTTTTATGCATTACTTGATCTACCAAACACAAAGACAGCCAGGCAACAGACTGCGTGTGTTGCCGAGCAGTTTTTATGAAAAATGCAAATAAAATAAATTCTGAATGAATTATTTATAGGAAATTAGTATTATGATCAGTAAATATATGCATTACTGGCCATCCCGGCCACAAAGGCAAGCAGAAAATGGCCGCTAAGTGCGTAGTGACCACGAGTGCTTGCCGTCAAACAACACTGTCCCCTTATCTCCCTCGCCACTGCGGCCAAAGGGAAGTTTCTAGGGGGTCAATATATAGATTTTCTTACTTCTTTTTTATTATTTTATCATATAAAAAAGTTAGAAATTATTTTTGGAAAAGTTGATTTTTCTCAATTTACCCTGCATGGGGGAGGTATGGCCAGCAGCACCCTAGCCCGGGGCGTAGGGGTTAAGACCATCAGCGTCAAGCTACATCCACTAACTGAAATATCCTTAATGACTTGTGCCCTCCTACCCTACCCTGGTCTGTCACCCCTAGCTTTTTTCCCCCATCAATACCTCCCCCATTCTCTTGTTGTGACCCTTTGTGTAGAAAGGCTTGAGCTCAAGGGTATGGAAGTAAGAGGGGGTGTATGATTACCTTTCAACGTGACTGTACATTTATAGAATATTAATTCATGAACATTTTGTAGCTGGCATTAAACCATAAATTATAGCTGTAATTAACTGCTTTTTAATTTTTTCTGTATAACTTCTTACATTACAATTGTTTGGTTGGGGTTATCCAGCTATATAGATTGTATGTTTAGTGCTCCTCTTTTGAGATGTATAATACTTATTCTCTTAGCAAACTTGCTTGTAGCAGATATATTGCTGATAAGATACAGGAATATTTTCCAAGGTAAGGGAACTGAGCCTGTTTTGTCATTTAACTTTGTTGTTTGTGAAACTGTGTTTTTTGTTATGGTTGTTAGCAGCTGATAATTTACTTTATTTTATATATTAGGTATTATGATTATAACCTGTGATGTTTATTAGTTTTTAGTATTAAAGTTTAGATTTGATAATAGAATATGTACCAAATGTCCAAGGAGATGTTTTATGAGTGAAAAGTTCCTTTGTATATAGGGGGGTAGCCATATAAATGAAGTACATAGTGTGCAATTTCCCTTGGGAATATTGCATCTACAATGATCTCAGCTGTGACAGACTTAAAGACAGTTTGGTAGAGGAAGCTGCTAAACCCATACTTTTGTACTTTGAACCCAGTGAACCAAAATGTTGAAACCCAGTCCATTAAACATATGTACTGTATAAATATCAGTGTAACCACCAATGGTAGTAATGTAGAAATCTGAAGACAAAACTTAGTTGGAAAGCAGGTATTGTAGTAATATCCAATTTTCTGTGTGTGTATTCTTTATTCATGGTAATTTAAGTTAATTGTGGAAGTAGTTCTTTTAAAATTTTATTTATTTATTTATTATTTTTTAATGAGCAGGCCTCTTGACATTCTGTCTTAGGCATGTGAGGCAATGGTCAATTTAATGGATAATGCTTAGTCACAGGTGGAAAGTCATACTGCCATAGCACTAAAACCTATAAACCCAGAGTTTTAAACCCCTCTTCTGTTGAAGAGGGTTGTCGTGTTTCAACCCGAGTTAAAAAAAAAAAACATTCCTGAAGGACACCGCAGTACAGTACTTGATGGGGTGGTGTGGCGTTAAAATTAAATTCAATATTATAAATTAATTTTATTGGAATCAGTTAATTTTGCCGCCACACCACCCTGTTAAGTACTGTACTGCAGTGTCCTTCAGGACCCATTTTTTTTTTAACTTGGGTTGAAACACGAAGACCCTCTTCAACGGAAGAGGGTGTTTAAAACTCTAGGAGTTACACTTTTAGTTTGTAAAGTATTGTACAGGTGTGTCACAGTACAGTATGGGTAGTCTTGTCTGTGTCATCTATAGCTGGTTGTAGTTGTTCATGGCAAATATTTTGCACCCATTAGACATTTGAGTGAAGTCACTATGAATCTTGGAGTTAATGACTGAATCATTGAATTGTTTCAATTTGTAATGATGTTTTCCAGTGGTAATGACTGTAGAACCTGTATATTTTCTATAAAATGCTGCTCAAGTGATCATAGGTTTGACAGCTGTACATAAAAAGTGCTTATAACTGCCAAAACTAAACCTGGCAGGTCTAGTAAAATATCATTTTTAACTTACACATTCCTTTTCCTGCCTATGTTGTTACAATGCCACAGATCCTGAGAGAAAAATATTGCATTGGTCTACTGAGATCTTTCCCACCTTATATTTTGGCCAAGTTAAATAGCTTCCCAAGCTTTGTCAATCTAACACACTTAAACATCAATTCATGAAATGTTTAATAGTGTACTTATTTTTCTAGTAGACTGCTTGCTTTACCTGCCGTTGAAATACCCCAAATCTTAACATCATTTGGTGGTGCAGACTTGTGCTGAGCCTTATGTTTCCTGTTGTCTCAGAATATTAGTATTTGCCGTGAGTACTATTTATAATGTATACATAATGTTAACTTTTTTAGTGTGTTCTAG